CTATGATGAAAGGGCCACCAATAAAATTTATGATAGACCCTGAAGCAAAGCCTGTCGCTTATCACACACCAGTACCAGTACCCCTCAACTGGAAAGAAGAGGTAAAAGCCGGCCTAGACAGGAACACTCAACTAGGAGTCATCGAACCAGTCCCTATCGGTGAACCAGTCTCATGGTGCCACAAAATGGTTATATGCGCAAAGAAAAATGGTAAGCCTCGACGAACTGTTGACCTACAGCCCTTGAATAAGTTTGCTACTCGCGAAACACATCACACTTTATCACCTTTCTACCAAGCTCGTCAGGTACCTCGTAACACAAAGAAGACAGTTTTCGATGCTTGGAACGGCTAACATAGCCTACCCCTACACAAAGATGACCGCCATCTAACAAGTTCCATCACCCCTTGGGGCAGATACCGTTACAAAACAGCCCCACAGGGATATATTGCATCTGGCGATGGCTACAGCAGACGTTTTGACGAAATCGCCTCGGATGTTCCTAACAAAACGAAGTGTATCGATGACACACTGTTATGGTCGGACAACATTGAAAAAGCATTTTTCCAAGCTGTTGAGTGGCTCGACTTATGTGGTCGTAAAGGAATCACCTTGAGCCCGGCTAAATTTGTTTTTGCACAGGACACAGTGGAGTTCGCTGGCTTCGAGATCACCCCCACCAATGTAAGACCATGCAAAAGATACCTTGACGCAATATCAAACTTCCCAGTGCCAACGAGCTTAACCGATGCCCGGTCATGGTTTGGCATGGTAAACCAAGTATCATATGCTTTTGCATCAGCTAAAAAGATGTTACCATTCCGCCAATTGCTTCAGCCATCGACCAAATTTGTCTGGACAGAAGAACTCAACCAGCTCTTCGAGGAATCGAAAGAAACACTCATCAGTGAAATTGAAGAAGGAGTCGAAATCTATGACAAAGATAGACCCACAAGCCTAACCACCGACTGGAGCAAAACCGGGATAGGATTCTGGCTACTTCAAAAACACTGTTCATGTCCCTCACAAAATCCATTCTGCTACAAATCAGGATGGAAAATAACACTCGTCGGTAGTAGGTTCACATCACCAGCAGAATCACGCTATGCGCCAGTAGAAGGCGAGGCCCTAGCTGTTGTTGATTCCCCCTGAGAAAGCGCGCTATTTTGTTCTTGGGTGTGAAAACCTAACAGTAGCTGTTGATCACAAACCACTCCTGAAAATATTTGGAGACAGATCACTGAAGAACATTTCGAACCCTTAATGAACTTGAAAGAAAAGTCGTTGCGCTACCACTTCAAAATGATACATGTACCAGGCCTGAAAAACCTAGCGGCTGACAGCATGTCAAGACATCCAGTTGGTAAAGCAACAAAGATGACATTGATTGATAACATATTTGCATTGGATAACGCAATTGAGCAGTCTAACGATCATAATTCGATACCCTTTCTACCTGGCTCTTTCATTGCTAACATCCGCATATCTAATGAATCAGAGAAGTTTCTCACATCCTGCGAAAATGCCACCACAATCCATGCTCTCAACAGCCTACAATCAGTCACATGGGACGATGTAAAAGTAGCCACTAATAGCGACCCAGGAATGTCAAAACTCATGACTATGATCGAAGATGGCATTCCAGAATTCCGGTATGAACTCCCCGTGGAACTACGCGAATATCATAGATTTCGCAACGACCTCCACACTTACGACGGGGTAATACTCTACAAGAACCGCATTGTGGTTCCACCGTACCTCAGGGAACGCATCCTAAAATCTCTGCATTCTGCCCATCAAGGGGTAACATCTATGACATTACGAGCAGATACATTCGTTTTCTGGTCAGGCATCACACCTGATATCATAGCTGCGAGGGCAAGATGCATGCACTGTAATCGTATGGCACCATCTCACCCAAGCAACCCACCTACGCACACAATTCAACCAGTATATTCATTCCAATGTATATGTGCAGACTATTTTCACTATAAAGGGTTTAACTACCTTGTCATAGTCGATGGATACTCCAATTGGCCGATTGTGGTAAAAGGTGGCGATGGGTCCAAAGGCTTAACAAACAGCTTGCGTAAGGTCTTCGTAACTTTCGGTATAAGCGATGAACTTTCATCAGACGGTGGGCCGGAATTCACTGCTGCCGAAACTCGCAGGTTCCTGACAGATTGGGGTGTCAATCATCGGTTGCTTTCCCCCATAGCAATTGCAGAGCAGAAATTGGTGTGAAAACTGTTAAGAGGCTCATCACTGAGAACACTGTCACAAATGGAGAATTAAACACCGATGCATTCCAGCGGGCGATGCTACAATATCGCAACACCCCGGATCTAGATACTAAAATGTCTCCGGTCATGCAGGTATTTGGTAGGCCAATTCGGGACTTTATTCCTATTCCGCCCGGCAAATACGTACCGCAACAGACATGGCGAGAAACAAGAACAGCCAGAGAGGAAGCCCTGAGGAATCGTCACATGAAGGCTGCGGAACGCTGGACTGAACACACTCGACAACTCCCTGCCTTGAAGATCGGAGATCATGTCCGAATCCAAAATCAAACTGCCACACATCCGAATAAATGGGATAAGACCGGAATTGTCATAGAGGTGAAACAGTTTGATCAATACATGATTAAAGTTGACGGATCTGGTCGAATTACCATGAGAAACAGAAAATTTCCTAGGCGATATGTACCAATGTATCCTAGGAGCCAAATTATCGACCCCTTTCGAAATATGGCATCCCCATACATGCCACAAATCCAACATGACCGCACGGCCAGAAGAGTTGACCGGTCACCAATAATACCACCTGACGATGACGCAAAAATCCGTACTCCAGAAGAATCAACACCAGAGAGCGAACCCAACCACCCGCAGAAACCAACAACTCCGATGACACCAACATCTTCGAACTATAAGAAACTACCTACAGCATTATCCAGGCTTCAACCTTATAACAACCCTGGTCTACACGAAGGGCCACGAATAACTTCACACGGGCCTAATACCTTGCCAAACCAAGATCTACCACGTCGGTCATTAAGACACAAGGAAAACCGACAAATGACGCAAATTTGAAATAATTTGCAATTTGTTTTTCAAAAGTACCGGTAAAGAATTTTAGCCTAGTCTATCACAGATATTTCTACACTAATTTTTGTCACTGCAGTTAAATTAAAACTCCTAGGAAGACAGGGGGATCATTGAATTATCTGATTTATATTTAAATTTCCGAAACACAAATGAAAACTAACGAATAGAGTTCAAAAACGAGGTAATGTTTACGACCGCGCATGAAAATCTGTCTGAGTGAGAAAAGTGTCTGAGCGGATGCGAAAGGGAGCATTGTTACGTCACTTTTTGCATCTTGCTAATTGGCCAATGTCATGAAGTAAACACGGAAGTCGATGCTCGGGGAAAGGTCCATGACCAGCAACGACTAACATACCGATGTCCAGTGACCACGCGATAAAACCATTGCGCGCCAGACACAAGATGGCGCATGTTATGGAAATTTACAGAGTATCTTTGTTGGTTCCCCAATCCTGTCGAGTGCTCCGCAAGGCGCAAGCCAAGTTTGGTTAAGGATCTAAACTTTAGATTAAATACAATGAGACCCGTAAAACGCTATTTGCTTCTGCATAATTATTGAAAAAAAAATGTTGGCTCCAATAGAGGTTTGACACAAAACATTCCGAACTTTGAGTTCTAAATTGTTCGCATGTCAATACAGCAATCCCCATAAATTTTATTTTTATTTACGGTAGTTTTATTTTCATATGGTATTTACCTTGCAGACCATAGAATGTTTTTAATCTACAGTCTGACAGTTTCCATTGCCTGATTACCGGTACCAGATTACAGACGTTGAGTTCAGAAGTTGCCTATCTTCTGTATTATTCACATATTATAGGCCTAATTAGACTACTATAATGCCAGAAGGCCTAGTAACGTACGGTACGGTACCGGTATTGTAGTAGTTTAATTGGTCAAAAAACAAAATCTACGAAAGCAAAGAAAGAAATCTGGATATGGAATCTGAATTGAAAATAACTAGCCTACAGTTTGATTATAGTTGAATATTTTAGAGTTATTTTATCGGTTGTGATGTGTACATGAATTTAAACTATTATTATACAGATATAGGCTACGTACGGTAGTCTAGTTCCCGTACTACTGCACTATATATATAGACTATGATCCAGTAATCTCTGTTCGTCCATTCTTTAATTAAAGATTACTGGATTAACATTTTATACGGCACACTATCCAAACTCCAAGAATTTCCCTCCATTTGGCTCAACAAAACAAACACTCCATATGTCTCACAAACAAGGGGCGTCTGGCAGTGGCACCACGTCAGATGCTTCATATCGCGTCATGCTTGTCTCAATAATAACCTAAATTAATCGCGGCCGTCACGTGACAAAATTGCCATTTTTTGCTAAAAACTCTCGAATGCCACGGTAAAAATTTTTTCCTTCGATAAATCGGGATATTTTTTTCAGAGGAATTCAATGATGACGTTATTAGATTGCGCTTTTTTGTAGTATTTTGCGCAACTTCATACTGTATTATTACCGATATTGAGGGACAACAATGTCCAGACGTCTCCCAAAGGAGAAATGTCTGATCATCGGTAAAATGGGTTTCTCTGAAACGAGACAATGTCGCTCGATCTGTATAGTGTTGCGTACTGTATTATTTCGTGTTCTTCAAATTTTGTGGTCATAATTAGTTTATTGCAGTGCCACTTAATCCATTTGAGTCAATATGGAGGCCCAGACTTGGATCCAGGTCTTGCAAAGAAAGGGTTTGCACTTACGGGTAAATTGATGTCCTTTAATGTGGGGGCTATTCTTGGAATCAGGGATCTGTACCCCACCATATGAGCTTACCCAGTTACCATTTCTTTGAGATAACTACAGAATCTTATTCAAGTTGTCGTTTTTGACAATACTCAAAAAAAATAATACTTTTCCTTCTTGCTAGATACATTACAATGAAATTGTTTATATTCCACTTTTCATTATTTTAATATATCCCATATTTTGATAATATATGAATTAGATGGATATACCATCAACTCCAGATATCCAATCAACAGCAGATGATATATTTTCAACTTATGGATTAGATGATTTCGAAGAATTTCCAATTGTACCTTTCATTGGATTGAGAAATTTAGGAAACTCTTGTTTTTTCAATAGTGTTTTGCAGGTATTGTTACTTAATACTAGTAATTTGATATTGTTGTTTGATAACTCTGGGAGCCATAAAGCATGATTAATTAGGTATTCTGGCATGGGGATTGATAGGCTGAAATTTTTATTAGATAGGTATAAGTACTAAACATATTTAGTAACATAAATTCAGATTTTTAGTAAAGTTATTTCCATTTTCCTTGACAGATATTACGGGTAAACTGAACTAAAATTTTAATTCTAAAATGTTTTTTTCAAAAAATTGGCATTTTTTGAATATTGGATTTTATTTGATAAATCTTTGACTGTATCTTATTATTTTGGTGATTAAAAATTGGTTAAGTGAAATGCCTGTCTGACGTAAAAACTAAAATTCAGTACTATGATGTTATTGGTACCCACCACTATCATTCCATTCCTATCCGTTTTCATGGTTTCATCTTAGATTAGGTCAGGACTCAAAGATGGTCATGACTTGATATTGGATCATTATAAATACATGCTAAAAATATTTATCCGCTTCACATGATATAATTAAAAATATTCGGAATGCAGAGTGATTGATTATTTTCGAAGGTATTTGGAATAGTAACTTATGGAGCATTGGCCATCCTTTAGTTCCACCATGGAAACATTATATGTTATAGTCTAACATTTTTATCTTGATGCAGATTCTCTTTTACTGCCCTGGTTTTCAAAAATGTCTGACAGAGATTGCAGAGAAAATAAAAGATGGTTCAATTGAATGTTCTGGTAATGCAGTGGACAACGATGACAATCTGAAATTACTTCTGGGTGAATATAAATTATTTTTTTTATTTTGTATTTATGTCAGATTTGTAAATATTTTTACCTATTCTTGTAGATGATGTAATGAAAATACCATGAACATAGTATAAATTGTTTGCTCATAAAATATCAACGAAGTGTCACTGGTATTAAAAATTATGGGGTTGGTCTGTTGGACTTTTAATTTTTCGTTTAAAATTGGTCTAAATCTTGATATTTGGTAGTTATAAATTGAAGAATTCATTGAAGTAAATTCTTCTGCTTTTGGCATCATTTCATTGGGATTTTTGTTATCACTCATCTTTCTGTGGACCAAAGCTATATATATTGTAATAAATTGCAATAATTCACCTTTTTATCCAATATCACATGATTGACTAATGAACCAAGTTATGTAAAAGGAGTTGGAGACTTATAAAATAGAAAGCATTATCAAACCAGTAAAAGGCATGTACATATTACCAATTTTTTTGCTGACCATTAGTTCTAGCAAATATCTGAAAGGATACATTACTAAACTTGTAATGTGGAAAAATATATAAAGAATAAGTAACTTTATTGATCATCATTTAAGATAGAGGAAGTGTCAATTTTCAAGTCGTGCTTTAGTTGCTACCAATTATACCTTCAGCATGTTCTTTCCAATTTAACGTGAAATGTGAAAGTATTTTATATTGATCAATACCCGTGTTGATTTATATTTTTAGGTATTGTTTTTTGCTTCGTTCCATTCAAATAACATTTCAATTTTTTTCTTATACTATTTTTGTGCAAAATAACACAATATGTTATACGGTATTTTAAAATTGTTGAATTCTATTTATCATACATTGACAATGAAAAATGAAATGTCATGTTGCGATAGAATTAAATGTTAAATGTGAAGTCTGAGTGGAAGTTCTCCTATTGATTATGTTCTATTTAAAATGTTGTAATTAGAAGTCTATAGAAGTCTTTTAATATTTTAGAAAAGCGCGAGTTACCGTAACTTACAGATGGCAGATGCCCCCGATTATTACATAAAGTTATCATACCAATCAACTTTTTATCAATGTAGCTTTTTTTAGAGTTAATATTTCAAATTTCCATTTTCAAACTAAATTTCATGATATTTCCTATCACATTGTTGTGAAGCATTAGTTTGAAAATTGCATTTGCCATTCATATTGTTATTTATTTAGAATTGCAAAAGCTCTTCATTCACATGAGAAACAATCAAGATGTTCTTCTCAATTCATCAGATGAAATAATTGACAAAGAAAATATTAAAGCCGTGCGACCTGAAGATTTAATGCAAATTTTGAGGTAATGATGTTTTGTTATTGTTGAAATAACGATGTCATGGTAAAGCCTTGTATAACTTTTTTATATTATTCTTCATTTACAATAGGGAATTTTCAAATCGGTTTGGTTTTTAACTTCTTCTTTTTTGAGGTTATTAATTTTGAACACCATTAGAATTCTCTCAGTCACATATATAGGTAACTCTTCGAAGAAGGAAACCTTAATTGACCGTTGGTTATGTTGAACTATTTCTGCACCATGGAGGAGACTAATAATTATCTCCTACAGGGTTTGATTCTTGAGATTTTTGGTGGTGTGTTACCGCTATTGCAAGTGTGTCGTGTCTCAAACGGTCAGCATAGGGAAATAAGCGTCAATTTCTCTTTGAATCTATAATACACTTCTATAATTCTCCAAAAATACCTGAAATCGTAAATGAAATAAATTTTTCAAAATATTTTACATAAATTACTTTGTTTTCAATTTAGGAAAGTTTATCCTGCATTCGAGCCATATACCCAACAAGATGCCCAAGAATGTTTGAGATGTATTCTCAGTATTCTGCAAGATGCAATGCAACCATTGGATGGAGAGAATAAAAGCGAGAATTTATCAAAACCAATGGTTAGATATTTAAACTGATTTTCTAAGCAGGTGAATCTGTATAAAGTGAAAATTGTAAAAACTGATTTGCCAGTCATAGTTTGAGAAAATGATACAAAAATTAGGGATCAGTATTTACTCCTTTCATGGCATATGGCTGCAAATACATTATGACGTAACTAATGAGTGAGCTTTCGTGATATTTAGTCGAGAAGGGCGCAGCATTCATTTGACTACACTTTACGTAATATAGTTCGTCTGTGCCACCCTTTTTCTTCATTTCCGCTTGATTTATGAAGTCCTACAGCTCATGTTGGTTAGAGTTACTTGCTAACTCATAAATTGATTTCGAAAGGAATTTAAGCGATAAGAGCAGGGAATACAGGAGAGAAGTGCAGAAAACAAACTATTGCGTGATTGGGATGCCATTCCCGAAAATTCTTCGTGTCTTAAAACTTTGCGCAACTCCATTACTCTCCATGTTTTCATCTGCATGTGCTTGTGAACCCATGTAGCCCGAAAGATGAAGCCAGTAGTTTGTGTATTTCTTTGAAAGTTACAAAATATAAACCCAACGTAAAATCTCTGTCAACTGTAATGCAGCAGCAGAAGTCTCACATATATAAAATAAGAAAGGCAATCAAATCTACTTGTCGAACTGATATTTCCCTGAATAGTGAATCTGTTTGTACACGTTTTAATAAAGGTTATTCTTGTGTATTTTTGCTTTTAAAGTATCGAAGCATTGTTATTAATTTTGGTCGGCACACGGAAGAATTTTGTCGTTAAATTCAGCCGATTTTGGCACGCGAGCCTAAAAGCGTTGCCCACCCCTGTCATACACCAACATTCATTATATCATATAACTATTGATTTCTATTGTCTGTGTTCTAATAGTTGGATGTTCTGGCATTCTATCTTGCATTTTGCAAAGTTTACTCAGAAAAGTATGACATAGATTATATTTTATGTTAGAAACTGACAAATGTAACAAAAATGGGATCTAATTTATAACATCTGAATTCTTGTTCCTAACTTCATCCTGTCATTCACTCGAGTAAGTTTTTGGATTTGGCTTGAAAATTTTTTTTCCTTAAAAAATTTGTATTGTTCCTATAGATCACTGACAAGACTTGCAAGGTGTTTGGAGGCAGAAAGTTTGGTGACACTGTGGTGGTATCTAGTACAAATGAGAAATCGCAAAGAGAAAATCAAGATCCGAATATCAATCCAATAAAACAAGTATCCAGGACAACAGCTTCTCGAAAAAAACACATGAAGACATTTTTAAGGCGACCATTGAAAGTGAAATCCAATAGCGAAGAACCAGTTCAACATTTTGGTGGAAAATCACCTACCAATGTTGAATATAAATTAAAAACCAACACAAAGTTAATACGTAATGAACATTCATTAACAGAAAATGAAAATAGTGTGAATGTAAAGAGTTCTGGCTGTTTTGGGAAGTTGACAAAAAGGCATGTTACCTCAGACAATATAGTTCAGAAAAGCAGTTCATCACTGATATCAACACCAACAAAGAGACCAAATTCGTGTGACATCACCTCCCTGTCACCTCCAACCAAACGAAAAAAGTTGAATATCGGTAACGGAATAAAAAGTTTTTGCAAACCTTTCTCATCCAATTTGAACAAATCTAAATTGCCATGGCAAACTGATAAAAACAAGTCGTACTCACTAGTGGAATCTAATAAGAGTGGGAAACGAAATCCTTTCAAGGTTATACTCAAATCAAGTCAAAACTCACAATACAAAAAATTTGATACAGAAGATGCAAAGATTAATGGTTTTGAAGATGAATTTCTTGAACCGGAGGATTTGATTGCAAATGTAAAAGATCAATTAGTAAATGAGAAAGACATTGACGAAGAGGAAATCAAAAAACCACTCAAGTTTGTGGAAAATTTATTCCAAGGTCTTCTTGTTAATGAAATAAGATGTATGGAATGTGAAAACAGCGTCCAGAGAAAAGAACCTTTTATGGTAAGAATGCCTATTCAAGATTATTGAATATAGTTATGATTCTACCATTTCTATGAAATAGTTGTTCTATTAGATTAGTTGACCATTCTATGTAATATTCATTGGATTTGACCTTGTAATTTTCCACAAGGGGTACATCCCCTGTTGATTGGTATAATTTATCTTATGGGGAATGTGTTATATTAAAGAAATATCTAATAGCTTAAAAATCGACTTATTCATAATTGTATTTATTTTGAATATTTCAATGCAGTTATGGCATGATATAGTCTTTATGATATAATTATTCAATGTTGCAGAATTTTGCTATGTTTTTATAAAGATTTAATTAGTAACAGTTAGAACTAAACAACTCATAGAAAAATGTCCATTTTCATAATTCATGTTGGGATGTTAGTGAATTTCTATATTTGTAATCAGCAGTATAAATGTCTGTCCAAATAATTTAGCATTCTAAAGTTCATTTTTTGAATCCAATCATTATGGATTTGTTTCATATCAATTTTGATTTTGCACTTGGATATATGTATCAGTATTAGATTACAGTAAGTTTGTTGGTCATGTATCTTGTGTTTTCATACGAAGTACAGAATGATAATATTACTTATTGTTTTTATATGTAAATTTAAAGTAGTTTCCCGTTTTCTGCATAAAACCATACCATTCCATGTGAAATATCACATATTGTAATCTGTATTCTATTTACAGGACATCAGCTTGCCAGTTCGAGAGAGCAGAAAAGCTTTGGCATTTACTGCAGAATCTAATAAAGAAGAATTATCAGAAGTATATAGCTTATTGTATACCTATTTTACTTATATACGCCTACCGGATATTTCTAATATAGTCTCATTTAGTTTTTGAAAAGGGCCTTTATCTTCTGATTTAATTTTTATAAACCCTTACAAATTTATATCAAATTGTATGATGCTTTTCTTTATAAAATTTCACGATATTTGAATGGTGTAATTTTGTGAAAGACTGATATTCATTTATTCAAATTTTGGATTGGTTCAATATTTGAAACAAATTCTTGATTTCTCAGAATACAACTTTTAGTTCATCCTTGGCTGCTGTAGTTATACATATTAAATGGTACTCCTGTAGTATGTGTACCAGGTTAGGGTTTGGCCATAATTTAATTCGATTTTAGTTTGATCGCGAGTTCGGGGACTGTCTGTGTTAATACACCCCATGCCCATAGGTTTTTTATTTCCTTTACACAACTTGATGTAAACTAGGCGAACAAAATTAGTCACCTCCATATTGGTACACATACTTCTGGAGCGCCCGAGAAATGGCATGTAATTTTTTTGTCAAAGCATAGGATATTTGAGATGTGGGATCTAATGCTCTATTTGTGCTACCAATGTTCAATTGGTTTTCTTGTTTTCATGTAGTCAAGTTCTGATGACGAGGATGAAGAATTGACTGACAATTGTTCTGTTATGTGGGGATTATCTGCTTTCACTTGTCATGAAATACTTGAAGGAGAAAACAAGTACTATTGTGATAAATGCTGCAGGTATTTAGTGTGGAAGTTTTCATTTTGACTGCAGGTCTCACTCAGTCTAGTTAATCTCTATGTTATTGTTAAAAATTCATTTTTGAGTGACTTTATGAGGCTTCAACATTCTTGTTAACTTCAGAGTCACTATCTTTTTTTGACTACCCAGTCTTCGTATAATTTGTATTGAATATATAATATCCTCATAATCGGTTTCTAGTTTAGCATCATAGTGTACAATTTGTATAAATCATTCATTTACTGGATAATACATTAATCACTGAGCAAAAAAGGTATTGAATTGCTTCCTAAATATTGTCTGAAAATTTGAATGTGAATTATGGACTTATTTTTTCTAGGTACTCTGAAGGTGAACGCAAACTGCAGTTTTCTAGTCTTCCGCCTATCCTGACTTTTCATTTGAAAAGATTTGCAACTTCCAAACCCCATGCTGGAGGAGATGCATTTTGTGGCACTGTAAGTTCTTTTTTGTCTCGCTCCTGTCATGCAATCAGCTAGTATTATAGCAGCCATTGCTACTAGAGAAGTCAGACGCGCATTGTCTGTAACATATTACTAAATTCATACTCATCAGGATCTATTTATTACAAGGGATGGTTTATCCGTAAAGCAGTCATTGCTAACTAGGTCTGCAAAATTTATTGGACACAAAAGATGAATTAATTTTTTTAGGGGAAAAAATTTACTTCTTTTTAAACGAGTTATATTACTGAACTAATTACTGTTTTTTATATGACACGATTATGTGCCTTTTGCGCTGAACAAGGCTTTGTACCAGCAGTCACTGCTAGGTTAGAAGCTCCTATAGATTTGAAGGGCCAGAATCCTTCCGATTCGACATTGACTATCTAATTGATTTCACTCCGGATGAGGTGGTGTGCATGGAATTAGAACCCAAAATTTTCCCTGCGATGCCATCAAGTTGATCTGAATGCTTTAACCAGCAAACTACCAGGCCCACAAAAAACTTTCAGTAGTTGAAGTGTTTTCTAAAATGCTCTTACCTCATTTGTCAATGAATTGCAAATCCTGGTGGTGACATTACCAACCATATATTGCAGGGTGGTCCAAAACCAGGCCCGCAGCGTCATTACCTGTGGCCCGCGTCGCCTTTGTTGAAGGGTAATCGAAAATCCATTTGGTGTTGTTTCGTCATAAAAATAACCAGAAAATCTTTTCAAAATCTTGTTACATCACTAATGTCACTGAATTGATTAGTGTCACGACTAGCAACTAGCGTCTAGCGTAGTTGAATTGTGTGCCCGAGTAGTCCAAATTGTTCACTGGCTTTCTATTTTTTTGGTTGGCAATATATTTCAACAGGTATTATAACTAAATTTTAATGTAATGGCCTGAGAATAGAATTCTTTCCAGCGATGTTTTGCAACCAGCCTAAATGGTATTATAAAAAATGTCTCTCGTATGTTAGAAAAATAGTAATTACTCTTCTGTACCTCACATTTGGTAACATATGATAACAATTTAGCAGTTATGGCAAATCTAGTCAAAAACGCCATATTGCTATCATGTGAGCAATGAGCATTTCCAAATTTCCAAAGATGTTCGAGAGTACTTACATTTGCGGGAGCACTTTCTCTGTTGTGAAGAGTTTGAAATCTTACATTGAATGTAGATGAACATTTCAGTGATTGTTCTGGCGTATTTTGCATGTTTTAGCTTGATAAATGACAAACAATGATCAATTGTTTGCACAAGAAAAGTGTTTGTTTTGTATTGCCCTGTTTACCTAGTTATGACACTATTGTGGCCCGCAAACAATGCAGAAATAATTTTGTGGCCCGCGAAGGCAACAACCTTGGACCACCCTGATATATTGGATCTGCTGTCTTGTTTGTATCAAACCTTTGTAGTGCCAGACAGTTCTCTCTGTATCATCAGATATCATTTGTCTCTAGCCCTGTTCTAACTTTTTCATTTTAACTATATACAATTCTCATTCAGGTGTCGAAAATCAATAGCTGTCTTAGTGTTCCATTGCAATTATGTCTTCACCAATGGTGTTCTTCTTCTTGTGGGAGAAGTAAAGAAAAGTACATACTATTCGGAATAATCATTCACAGTGGTGTAACTATCTCAAGCGGCCATTACTTGTCATATGTGAGATTGATGAACTCATCTCTTAGTCGAGGTGAGTTTACGATTGTTTGTTTTATTACAAGTATTTTTGTTAAAAAATCAAACCAGAAGAAATAAATGAATTTTTCTAAATTTGAACTCTACCATTTTAACCATTAGAAAATATTCTTCTATGGCTATATCTATATTATGTTTTTATTTATCAGTAATTGGGCCCTTAATAAAATTCACTTGTGATGCCATAATACATTTATGTGGAAATGTCTGTTATGACAGCATAATAAATCAACAATGATGTCGCCAGGAAGAGGACTCACAAATGTTATAGACTAGGGCCTCTCATCAAAGTCTGGCCCTATGATTACAGCACTAAATGTGACAAAATATCCAAATCTTAATTTTTTTGAAGAAATGTAAGAGGTGCTCTTTTTCCTCAACAAAATCTCTCAATTAGAATAGAATCAATGGATCTAGCTTTCATTTATTTTCCGAGGTATTTTTGCCAAACAAATAACATAATTTTATTGTTCAAATGCTAACTCAGGAAAGGAAGATATGGACGAGCGTCTACAAACATACGAAGATAGTTGGTTGGAAGCAGATGATGAACGAACCAGAATCATTACTCAAAAGGAACTATTGGACGTTATTTCACCGACAGATGTAGAAGGAATATCTAGGACTCCGTATTTGCTATTTTATCATAGAGTTGATGACATTTGAGCTTTTGAAACTTGCCTTTTTCCTGTGTTTTGTAGCTTTCCTATGAAGAACTTGGTTGGACCTTCGCTTACAATGATGCTTTATGTGCTATAAGTTTACTAAAAATTTCCTTGTGATAATGCCCAGTGTGTTTCAAATACCATGTAAGCTGCACTAAGTAAGTATTGCTTTAATGTGATTTTAAAATTTTAAAAAAAAAATTCAAGTCTCTAATTTGTGTGATGTTTAAAGATTACATTGAATCAAAATTTGACATTTTACATTCACTTAAGATCAATTTGTAAAACTGTGTTTCTTTTTAGAGACAGGAAAAACTGAAATTGAATTTTAGAATTTTTTTGGTTGGGTGACACTGACATATCTTTCGTTTTTTTATTTTTTATTTGTACACTCGCTCATTCAATGGAGATGTATTTCATCATCATTTACTCAAAGGAGGTGGTGGGTGAGAACAATTTGGTTGTTCAGATGAACAATTCTTTTTTGTGTAAGAAGAATACACTGTCATGATTATCTCATTAATGCGTCTATTCGAAATGAAATAATTTTAGCATGGCAAACCCATTGATCTAGTCATTTCAGTCAGTATTATCAACTAACAAAAACCTCATATTATACATTTTTTTGTTGTAGTTTGCTCAAACTCGTGAGCAAAACTGGTAAGTGCATCATTGTTGATAAATTTGTTGAAATTGGACTGAAGTTCTGATGTGTGATTCATTTCTTTGTGGACGAATACCAAGCCAATGTGTTTCAATTTATATTTGCTCAGAAATCAAAAGAAACTACTGCCAGGAACAAAATTAAAAAAAAAAATTTTGAAAAATGAACTGCTTTTTAATAATTATTCATTTATTCATGTATGATTTGTTCAAATTGAACTACTGCCAGGAAAAATAAAAATAAATTCTGAAAAAAAACCTTAAAATATCATCAACTTAGTTCAGAGACAATAGTAATTTCTTATTCTTCTGGAAAAAATGTTATTAATATCAGGTATTTGTTGTGATTCAATGGGCAGGACAATATTTTACAGCTATCTGGCACCAAAAATTGTAATTTGTACTGTAAAAATGTTTTTCGTCAGTGTGATTAGACATTAATAATATAATTATAAAAACTTAAAAATAATCAAGATATTCAGGAAATTGACCAAATTGTATGATGATTATTTTACGTTCCTGATACGGAGTACAGATACCATAATTTTCTATGATTCATAGGACATTGTATGTTTAACTTTTTGTTGGGTTGATCGATTTGTGAATATTTTTTGAGATATTGGGCCAATAATTCTTTGATTTAAAATTGAATGGAATTTTATTCTGCCATTTCTTTTCAGTTTTTTCCTCAGCACATATTTTCTGTTCGTTTTACTTACTGTCACATTTTCAATAAACAAATATGGGAAGAAATTGGCTAGTTCCGCAATATACCATGATCACCATGCTACAGCGATAAGAATTGTAACCAAGTAATTATTCATTGCAAATCTTCTCTATTCATTGCAAATCTTCTCGCTGCCCTGGATATGATGGCCAACAGATTATAATTGAGGTTGGAAAAAGGCCCAAAAAAATCATCCTCATTCATAGCTACAAAGTACGAGGTACAAGCGGGTTTTCAAACCACGGCCACAAAATGCAAATAAAAGTTATACAATACGACTTGGGTAAAAATAGCGATGTCCTTTTAATGCCTACCTGGGCATGCTTCGATGAGAATTCAACTATTTTGACAAGGATTAAAGAAGAACGAACACACAGTAATTTTCCCTTCACGGGTTCTCAATTCCTGACATTTATTAGTTTTTCTTTTGGAATATCTATCCGCCGATTCCGACAAATAGACTGCAGTATTTTTTACTTATTTTATTTCGCGGTGATTCCGATATTTCGCCATGGTAAAGTACAGAACTAAATCTTTTGTAGTTGAAAGGTCTGAGAGAAATCCAAGTTTATCCGTCTACAACAAAATATCTATTTGTCTCCAACATTACACTATCGATATATTACTTGAAATGTATTCACCCTATCCTCCGTTGATATGGTAATCTATATTCTATACGACATGTCAGTTCCAGTAATCTATCTATATCCTATACCAGACATAGGCAAAGTACGGCCCGCGGGCCAAATCAGGCCCGTCGGTTAATCTGGCCCGCCTGATGCTTCCACAGCCAAACTGGAATCAAATTTCGATGTTTTACCTAAAATAGCTCAAGGAATTTGTTGAAATTGCGGTTAAATTTAGTTTTTGCACGAGGCATATTGTTTTCCATCTTTTCTTTGTAACACTGTAAATATTGTTCATAAAATGTAACTTTTTACGTCAGATTTACATGGCCCGCCAGAAGAGATGGGCAAATTTTTTGGCCCCTGGTGAAAAAACCTTGCCCACCCCTGTTGTATACTATACGATCAACGATTTCAGCTTTTTCCATCAGGTCCAATATATATCTTTTTCATGATCGATGTCATCAAATGGACGAGATTCCTCTTCAGATTGGTCACCTGTACAATCACAACAAGTGTTACAAAGCTTAAATTCAAAAGTTTGTTTCAAATTTATTCAGAAATTGCAAAGCGTATCGAAATTCGAAATAACAAATAAAATTTGCTAAATGCATAAATAATCCAATCTGATTATTCAACCAATAAAACTGAGATAATTAGACAATCAATATTATTTTTAGATATTTCCATCGGTATTCAAGTCTTCTGCTTTCATATGATGGGACAACAAATGCAATTACCTAAGCCCCTAACGATATCTCTAGCCAGAGGATTAACCAAATCTACCATAGCCCTTAGAAATTTCATGAACTTTGTTATCAGCTGAACGTGATGCTTCTTCAGATTGGTCACCTCTTAGAAGTACAACAATTATTGCGAACTTGAAATTAGAATTAGTTTTTGAAAGTTTTTTATAATGTTGTTGACTGCTCAAGCAAACTTTGTAGTTGATATTAAAAAGAAAATGTTTTAGTTTCGCCATGATGTCTTAAATTGATTACTATTCACAATTAGCTAATTCCTCGATGGCTTTTTTAACCAAAGGAACAAACACACCCCAAAATCTCACTTTATCTTTGTTGTCGGTCGAGCGCAATGCCTTTCTTTTTCATGATCTTTGTCATCAAGTGAATGTGATGCGTCTTCAGATCGGTCACCAAACATTAAACGCCAACCAAATCTTTCACGATTTTTGTTGTTGAATGAACGCAATGCCTCCTTAGACTGGTCACCTATTATTATTACAAAAGTATCGTAAAGAACAGATATTTCAACTTATTGACTGAGATGACATTTGTATCATAGAATATTTGAAATCGAAGAAAGAAAGAAATCGACAGACCAAAATCAATATCACGAAATAAATTTTTATATATACCTCTCCCAGACAGAAAGGTATACCGACAATTAAAATGTGAGACAGCATAGACAACCACATATGACAACTATAAAGTTGTCTTTCTCATTGTTACGGAAACAAGGAAATCGATGCTCGGGGAAACCAGAGTGACTATAAACCACTGGACTGGAAATACATCTCTGTGCTATCGAGTGGTTTCCAAACTTTTTGGAGTTGGGAACCACTATTTATTACCACAGCTTATGGCGACCCATCTCGTGATTTTTTTACAATGTAATTTTACTTTTAATAAATGAACACAAAAGACCTCTCCAAAAAAACCATAGTGCTATCCTTCAAAAAAAATCTAAATTCTGTCTTAATTTCCGGGAAACACGGTAAGAAGTGCTGTACAGTGTACAAAACTGCTATGAGCAAAAAAAGCCACATGGTCATTCTTTGTGTAGCAAATTTTTTTTCTTTTTGGAAGATCGTAAAAAGGAAACTTTCACAGGTTAGAATTTTGGTTCAAAGCACCAAAATTTCTTTGTTGCGTTGAGTTCTCATGTTATCCTCTATTCATTGGTAAATTCATATTTTCCCCCTGAGACCGGAAAAGTTTAAAAAAAATCGGTTATCTTACCAAAATTTTGAATTTTTTTACAATTCCCAATATTCGAACCCAAAAAAGTTCAAAATATCGCAGTTGAGCACCAAAATTTTTGTCGTGTTAGGTTTTCATGTTAGTCCTCTATTCAGTGGTAAATTCATATTTACCATGAATCCAAGATAAATATTGTAAAAATGTAAATATATCTTCTGTTCCTCATTTTATGATTCAAGGCACACCCTGGTATGACACCCTGTACAATGCTTAAAACATTTGGCTGGAATTGTGGTGGCACATCATCCATAGCGGGAAACAGAGCCCATATATACCTAAGGACTTGGGACTATAATATTTTGTAGAAGTTAAGAACAGAATGGGCCTAAGTCCAGCTAAAATTTTTAATATTGAGAAATTCAGGATTTCAAGACCACCATCTTGTAGAGCATGGCTCAAACCCCCAAAATATTTAAAAAAAAGATAGTCCCTAGTTCCAATATGATGGGCATGAACATGAGAAATGAAATGTTCGAAACTTACATCCCTAAAAATTTGTTCAGTGAAACTTAGGCCTATATCACCATGTTTTACCTTTTATCCCATACAAAAAATTTCAGGTGTTGTTGAGAAAAGAATGGGCCAAAATCCTTTATGGGGGTAAAAAATCAGGAAGGAATTAAAGCTGAAGTGTCAAAAAATATTGATTACAAAGATATTCTCACCCACATTAAAATAACCAGAGCTCAGGTCTTTACTAAGTGTGAATATCTAGAATCTAGATTCTAGATATTCAAAAATGAAAAAATTCCAAATGTAACATTGACATCAATATTTAGCTACAGTCCCATTTGACGTCGCCTTCACTGTCGAAAAATTTAGATAGTTTCAGTCATTTAGGCCTGTAGTGTGAAACTGTGTGTGTCTACTATCCTAATGGAAAAATCATTATGGAGGTCTTGTTACGCAATCAGGACGCTTTGGTTGTCAGTAAATTCCGGACCACCGGGACGCCAGACGTCAAATCCGGGACTGTCCCTGACTCCCTGCCATTCCCGGGACGGTTGGTAGCCTTAGCATCAGCAGGTCTTGAATAGTTTAAGACGTCAGATTTACATGGCCCGCCTGAAGAGATGGGCAAATTCTTTGGCCCCGGTGAAAAAACCTTGCCCACCCCTGTTGTATACTATACGATCAACGATTTCAGCTTTTTCCATCAGGTCCAATATATATCTTTTTCATGATCGATGTCATCAAATGGACGAGATTCCTCTTCAGATTGGTCACCTGTACAATCACAACAATTGTTACAAAGCTTAAATTCAAAAGCTTGTTTCAAATTTATTCAGAAATTGCAAAGCGTATAGAAATAACAACTAAAATTTGCTAAATGCATGAATAATCCAATCTGATTATTCAATCAATAAAACTGAGATAATTAGACAATCAATATTATTTTTAGATATTTCCATCGGTATTCAAGTCTTCTGCTTTCATATGATGGGACAACAAATGCAATTACCTAAGCCCCTAACGATATCTCTAGCCAGAGGATTAACCAAATCTACCATAGCCCTTAGAAATTTCATGAACTTTGTTATCAGCTGAACGTGATGCTTCTTCAGATTGGTCACCTGTTAGAAGTACAACAATTATTGCGAACTTGAAATTAGAATTAGTTTTTAAAAGTTTTTTATAATGTTGTTGACTGCTCAAGCAAACTTTGTAGTTGATATTAAAAAGAAAATGTTTTAGTTTCGCCATGATGTATTAAATTGATTACTATTCACAATTAGCTAATTCCTCGATGGCTTTTTTAACCAAAGGAACAAACACACCCCAAAATCTCACTTTATCTTTGTTGTCGGTCGAGCGCAATGCCTTTCTTTTTCATGATCTTTGTCATCAAGTGAATGTGATGCGTCTTCAGATCGGTCACCAAACATTAAACGCCAACCAAATCTTTCACGATTTTTGTTGTTGAATGAACGCAATGCCTCCTTAGACTGGTCACCTATTATTATTACAAAAGTATCGTAAAGAACAGATATTTCAACTTATTGACTGAGATGACAATGTAATTTTACTTTTAATAAATGAACACAAAAGACCTCTCCAAAAAAACCATAGTGCTATCCTTCAAAAAAAATCTAAATTCTGTCTTAATTTCCGGGAAACACGGTAAGAAGTGCTGTACAGTGTACAAAACTGCTATGAGCAAAAAAAGCCACATGGTCATTCTTTGTGTAGCAAATTTTTGTTCTTTTTGGAAGATCGTAAAAAGGAAACTTTCACAGGTTAGAATTTTGGTTCAAAGCACCAAAATTTCTTTGTTGCGTTGAGTTCTCATGTTATCCTCTATTCATTGGTAAATTCATATTTTCCCCCCGAGACCGGAAAAGTTTAAAAAAAATCGGTTATCTTACCAAAATTTTGAATTTTTTTACAATTCCCAATATTCGAACCCAAAAAAGTTCAAAAAATCGCAGTTGAGCACCAAAATTTTTGTCGTGTTAGGTTTTCATGTTAGTCCTCTATTCAGTGGTAAATTCATATTTACCATGAATCCAAGATAAATATTGTAAAAATGTAAATATATCTTCTGTTCCCCATTTTATGATTCAAGGCACACCCTGGTATGACACCCTGTACAATGCTTAAAACATTTGGCTGGAATTGTGGTGGCACATCATCCATAGCGGGAAACAAAGCCCATATATACCTAAGGACTTGGGACTATAATATTTTGTAGAAGTTAAGAACAGAATGGGCCTAAGTCCAGCTAAAATTTTTAATATTGAGAAATTCAGGATTTCAAGACCACCATCTTGTGGAGCATGGCTCAAACCCACAAAATATTAAAAAAAAGATAGTCCCAAGTTCCAATATGATGGGCATGAACATGAGAAATGAAATGTTCGAAACTTACATCCCTAAAAATTTGTTCAGTGAAACTTAGGCCTATATCACCATGTTTTACCTTTTATCCCATACAAAAAATTTCAGGTGTTGTTGAGAAAAGAATGGGCCAAAATCCTTTATGGGGGTAAAAAATCAGCAAGGAATTAAAGCTGAAGTGTCAAAAAATATTGATTACAAAGATATTCTCACCCACATTAAAATAATCAGAGCTCAGGTCTTTACTAAGTGTGAATATCTAGAATCTAGATTCTAGATATTCAAAAATGAAAAAATTCCAAATGTAACATTGACATCAATATTTAGCTACAGTCCCATTTGACGTCGCCTTCACTGTCGAAAAATTTAGATAGTTTTAGTCATTTAGGCCTGTAGTGTGAAACTGTGTGTGTCTACTATCCTAATGGAAAAATCATTATGGAGGTCTTGTTACGCAATCAGGACGCTTTGGTTGTCAGTAAATTCCGGACCACCGGGACGCCAGACGTCAAATCCGGGACTGTCCCTGACTCCCTGCCATTCCCGGGACGGTTGGTAGCCTTAGCATCAGTAGGTCTTGAATAGTTTAAGATTTTGCCTACTTTCCCAATTTTTCGTAGGCTATATGTGTGTGTGTTGACTTGCATTGCCTATATATTTTTTCAGTGTTACGGAAAATCGAAATAAATGTTACTTTACTAACCGTGCGTTGCTTCTATATTATGTTTGTTAACGAGCGGCGTGGGTTTTTAATGTAAGTGCCCCGTATTGGGTTCGATACTGATTGAGAAATCCTATCGGATTTCTGCGCCCTCGGAATATTACTACTGATCCAAATCTGCCCCAATAGCCTTTTAAACTACTAAAATTAGGCTTGTTTGCGTTACACTACTCGAGCCGAATGATCGAAAATGGCGTCCATATGACGCCATAATGGGACAAGTTAGTTGCACGGTGTTGGCGGGAAAGTCCCGAAGGTGGCTAAAGAGAGCTTTCCCCTGTAACTCCGTCGCCTGTTCGCGGAATTCAAATTTTATCGCTTCGTCATTGTACTTTTGTATTTATGATGCAAGAGTGAATAACAGAAAGTTCATCAGTCCTAGTAGTATATATTTACGACCAGTCGTTACATTACATGCTGACATGACAATTGTTTGACCGTAGTATTAGCCTAAATCGATTATATAAGTAAGACTAAGACGCTTCAACATCGCGTGAAAGTGCAGAAGTGGGTGATTTCATTTGCCGCCTCGAAACCTCTAAACATTGTCTGATTGTCCACACCGACATCGGTACGATTAGTCGATTCGGTACCGGTACCGCCCTGTGCGTACGGTACCGGTACTGATATAGCCCATCTTTAATGAAGGTATTAGTATTACATCATTGATTTATTGTGATTCTAGCGAGTACATGAGTATGAGCCACTCTTCTTCAGCCCTTTGTTTAACCATCTGTAGATCTACAATTCCCATAGCAGCATAGACCAGTGGCTGTAGAATGGATGGAACTATTTTTTTTCATAGCATAGTTACGGTACTTATACCTGTATACTGTTATACCAGTAGGCCTACCCTACCGTATCCATTTATTTCAGTATCGAACCATACCGTATATACACACGTATCTACAGCACAGCAGTATAACCTGCCTACATCGCTTGTTTACAGATTCCTAAATTCATCCCATATTTCAATATAACAGTATAAACACAGAGACAGAAAGATGACTGATCAACTAAACAATGGTTTATCTAATTTATGGTTGGAGCCTTTTAAAGGGTAAGTAAAGTGCTTCTTTTTTAATTGTTTTCTTCATGTAATATACATGACTGCAAAGATGGGTCCAAGGGCGTGGCGATGTGGCTCATCGTGCTAAGCGTTAGGAAAACGCTCTCTACCGCACCTCTAATTACTCTGCGTGGGTTCGCAGGTCGGTTACGGCTTCCTCCACCATCAAGTCCATCCTTCTGAAAAACAAGTAACTAACTAATCCCATACCCGACATGGAATGGTAACCGGACAAGAGGCCGTGATTTGCCATATGGATGAGCCGTCTTATCGCCTTTCCTCTCCCCCGGGATAAATATGTAAATCCTATCTTATCCTAAAACTATATGGATGAACTGGTGGAGGCAAGATATCTATAATTGACTTAGTCTACATATTACAGTATTAATATTTTGAATTACTGAATTAGTTTCTCAACTGCTGCAACTCATGCTGGACAAGAGCCAGAACAATGGAATTCAAGAATGGTCGTTCCTGCAATTACTCCATCAACCACCTTTAAACAGTTTAGTCCCGGCGAACATACTGTGAGTTTCTTTATTAAATTTTTTTCTCTTTTTATTCATATTGTTGCTGCAAAAGTATATGATAATATTGGAAAACTTTTTTTTTTTTTTGTCCAGGGTTATGAATACAGTAGAAGTGGTAATCCAACAAGAACATGTCTGGAGAAATGTGTTGCCGCATTGGAAGGAGGAAAGCATGGTTCGGAACAGTTTATTAGTTTTTGTTTTATTAATTGCCTGAAATTTTTAATTTGAAAGCAGTTTAAATGGTATAAAAAAAATTTACACACTGTGAAATGCTTTCAGAGATTAGATGTATGAGATATTTCAATAAAATCACATTTATTAAATATAATATATAACGATTAAAATTTTAACTAATATATTTCAGCTCTGGCATTTTCCAGCGGACTTGCTGCAACTCAAATAGTAATAAACTTATTGAAATCTGGGGATCATGTCATCACAACTGACGATGTTTATGGAGGAACAAACAGGTATTTATAATGCATTATGTATATATCTCCACATGTGTTAGAATCTATGCTTCTATAATATTGATGCTTGATCAATGTGTTGTTTAAAGTCTAGAATACCAAACAATTTAAATTTTCAATTTGCTTCAGGTATTTTCAGAAAATTGCTTCAAAGTTTGGACTGGAGTTTTCATTTGTGGATTTTACTAATATAGAAAATGTTAAGAATGCAATGAAGCCTAACACTAAGGTTGGATACTTGTTTTTTTCATTCTTATAATCTGAGTCCTAATAATGTGTTTTTTTATTGTAAGTACATCATAAATATAGTCATTGATCAGAGTTCCTAATGTGAAAATTTTCTTCATAGATTTTGTTGAATTAAACTACATCATTGGATCTTGGATATATGAACAGCATTTCTCAATCTAGATTGGGCAATTTCATATTCATACATACATACATAACTTTTTTTTAAATAGTTATGATCATTCTTCAATACTTTAGATTGTCTGGTGTGAAACGCCAACAAATCCAACAATGAAGGTCACTGATATAAGAAAAGTTGCAGAAATCACTAAGCAACAAAATGATTGCCTCCTTGTTGTGGACAACACATTCATGTCGTCTTATTTCCAAGTGAGATTTGAATTAAAAAAATGAATTGGCATTGGTGCATGTGAATAATCATAATCTATTGTTTAATTTGTAGTTTGATGAAATTAGTAATTTTGTCTGTATATCTCTAAATCCAGAAGCTCATGGTCAAGGAATACATTACTTTGAATAGATTTTTTGATATTTCAATTCATTCATGGGTGTTTGACCTAAAAATTATACTTTATACACTTTTTCAGAGGCCGCTTTCACTTGGGGCGGATATTAGTATGCATTCTGCTACAAAATATATGAATGGCCATAGTGATGTTGTAATGGGTCTTCTCATCGTGAACGACGATGCTCTGAGAGATAGACTTTATTTTCTTCAATATGGTATGTTCACATAAACTCATTTTGATTGTTCATAATATCTTCTTTTTTATATATCGATCTAATAAAAATTCAGAACATAATATTTATTTGTTTTTACTTTTTGTACCATACAGCAACTGGTCCAACACCATCTGCTTTTGATTGTTATTTGGTAAATAGAGGACTTAAAACTTTGGCACTTCGTATGGAGAAACATCAAGAAAATGCAATCGCAATTGCGAAATATCTTGAAAAGCATCCTCTTGTTGAAAAAGTTAAATATCCAGGACTACCATCACATCCTCAACACGAAATCATGAAAAAACAGGTAAGTGCTCATTCAGTAGTTGATAGGATTCAGATTTCAACATTTCATTCGCTTGAGCGAACTAGCGTAAGTGTTAATTTGTGTCAATCAATATGGTGTCTAATCTCTGATATTGTTTTTCTTGGCGTCTCTATGAAACTTTGCCTTCGCCTTTTCAGTTCAATAGTATCATATCAGTATTTCATTTTATAGGATGATTTGTATTTGATAGAGATAACTTGATAATTGATATTAAATATGATATTTGGTGAAAAACCAATTACCAATTTGGTGATATTTTGTATTGTAGTCTTTCTCAGTACTTCAAACGGATTAAATGGTTTAAGTTTGAACAAGTTTTCATAAGCTTGCACATAAGGACTGTGTGCATCATACTAATGGTAACACCATAGATATGATGAATAAACTGTCCAAGCATCTTGAAAACTGAATGAGTTAGGTTGACCAGCAAACCATTACACTTGAAATGTTTGATGGTTGACATATTATTATAGCATAATTTGTGATATATGTTTTCAATTGTTTCCAGTCAATGTGATTCACTATGCATAATGAAATTTATGTGGTTTTATCATAAATAATCTTGCGTGCAATAGGTAAAATTTAAAATTCATTGTTACAAATACATTCGTGAGTAATATTTAATAATATCTATAATAGTGCATATATACTAAATGTATCCAAGAGTAAAAATTAACAAATATAATATTTTCAAAACCAATTTTAATATTTATCATTTATTGAATTATGTATGCCACGTTTATTTTTGAAGTCACTAAATTTAAAAATAAAACTATACTAAATTATTTGTAAATTCAATAATAGTTACATTAAGCATAATCAAATATGAATGTATATTGTATATTTAATTCATTTTGGACGTTTGGACAGCGGAATAAACGCTTCAGTAAATTGTGTAGCGCTCCAGGGCAAATTAGCGAGATTTATAGATAAAGGATTTAAAGTCAATATTATAGTTTATGAAGTTCGGACAAATTGAGAATGACTGTACTATTGAATAGGCCTTTCTGGTTTTTGGCTATCTTAAATATTATGTAAACAAGCAGTATGTAATTTGTTACCTCTTAAAGCTTTTTATTCAACACGATCGGAACAGGTTTTTAGCCTGTCAAATAGGTCAATATTAAAATGGAACAATACCAGACAAAATTGTATAAACTTATTTCAACTGTTCCTTTATTTGGAAATCATTGAAGTAGTATATATACATATCTACAGACAAAAACACCTGATATAAAACAGTCTAGTCAAAGTGTAATTAAATTACAATTTTGCCAATGAATGATTGATTTTGTCTGCATTAGCAACTTTTAAATGTTCCAAACTCATAGTTTATAACCTTATCAGTTTAATGTTTCTGAGAAATTAAAATGTCTAAACTTTGCACCTTGCTATTATGATTTTATACACTAAAACTGGGATATTGTGTGTTATGGCAAGTTACTGGTTTTGCCAAGCATTCACACACATTAATTGAAGTTGGATAATGCTCATTTATTTCCAGATTCCAATTTCAACACAAATCTGGGGAAGTTATGAGGTTAAGTTTTTATGGTTTTGTAGGTACGAAATTAATGGTCGTGATGCGATATTTCATCATTATTCTTTTTGCCTTTCTGCGCTGAATTCAACATATCGTCCGAGTATTCACCATTATTGTAAGGGAGGCGTGTCCGTAACAGCCAGTGAGATTGATGCCTGGCGCGCGCCCCTTTTGACAACGTGTCGCATTGGTCTTGTCGAGGCAGGTTCATTTTCGTGGAAACGTCCAGTCATTTGGATTTCGTTGCACTTGAATTGTCGCTTGTTCGTTTATATTAGACCAAGCATAATTCCTAGACTCGTAATTGGAAAATGATTAAGCAAGTAACAATACGTACAAACTGGTCTACCTACTGGTACCGTTCTTCATCTACGGTTGGTTGAATTCGAAATCTTTTGTTCGACTTTGAAACATTTTTAAATACAAATAAATCGCAAAAGAGACGTTTCTTGATGTCATGCCATGTCACCGTGAACTGTTTCTTCTGTGGAAGATTGGTAACTTCGCGATCGAGAATTTGTGTTTCCAATAATCATGACACAGCAATTTTGAACCGCGATTCGGATTCGACAGACCGCCTTGTGAGATTTGTGAGAATAATCTCTGGGTTTGGTTTTATAAGATTCTATGTATTTGACCAATTACTTTTGTCTCGCATAACCTTGCATCATTCGCTAGTCGCTACATTAGTATGTTGCGAATATCCTTCGAGAAATAAATCAACTCGATTTTGTTTTGTCATTAGAAGTTGTCCAGAATTACAATTCAACGTTCGGATTTTTCATATTTCAAGTTTTAGTATCGCAACCTATGCGCTGTGTGCACGTACAATGCAATTTTTCCTGTGATATTCCCATTCACATTTGGTTATTAGAACATGCCGTTTTCTGTTTTAAAACTTGATAATCTTCTTTAACAGGCGACCGGGTGCTCTGGTATGGTATCCTTTTGGATGAAAACCGATTTGGAACAATCGAAAAATTTCTTCAAAAACTTGAAAATTTTTATACTCGCTGAAAGCCTCGGGGGATACGAGAGTTTAGCAGAACACCCGTAAGTATTATCTGTATATCTCATCATAAATATACTATTCCATTGACTTGGTTCCAGGGCTGTTCTGACCGGAATCGGTAAGGCCTAAACTTGACGATTCACAAAGTAACCGAACTCTTTGTGCAAATTGGCAAGCGTGTTTTTGAAAAGGCAAGGTCAGTCAAATATAACCCTAAGTCCCACACCCCCGATGATTATCTGCAAAACGTGGTGCAATTGTCATATAGAATTGTTATCATTATTGTAACCTTATCTGTTGAACAACCGTCATATGGATTACCATATTGATTTTTAACGCAATTCGGAATTAGGATGTTAACGAGGCGTTTTTTATAATTATTTCATCGAGTTTACTATTTTTATGTAATCCAAATCTATGACAAGTCAAAGAATTCTTGAAGCACAGTGATCGTATATCGATATCAATCATTTCAAACCATTATTGCCGAAAATTTATTAAGACCTGTGCTCTGAGCAATGAATGTGCTTGGCATCAATCAGTGTAATATTTCGTGTTAATTCGTTGAAGGACCACGAGCTCCGGTTCCACATAGGCTATCTAGTTCAGGTACTGTATATGGGTTTGAACGCGAAATTAATATAAATTCTTAGTAACTACTGATAGTGAATTTCACTCATGATAATATAAATGGGCATATAAATTTGTATAAATATACCGGTATATATATTTGTATATGAACTATTCTATCATTCTGGCATCTCTTACAGAGCAATAATGACTCACGCATCTGTCCCACCAGAACAACGTAAACTTCTAGGCATCGGAGACAATTTCGTTCGTTTATCCGTCGGTATTGAAGATGTCGAAGATCTCCAAGCTGATTTGGATCAAGCATTGAAAGCAGCGGTTAGTATTTTATATTTTTACTCGAAAGATTGTTGGAAATTTTTTAAACCACTTCAACGTTCCTAGTGATTTTCCTCACTTGTACGTGTTTTGTTTAAACTTATTCATTATATGACGTTGAACTGCTATAGAAAGGCGTTTATTTTCACCAACGTGATCCGCTTTATGTCGGCATCCCTAACTCTTATTCAAGCACGGTATGTACTGCTGTTATTATGCGATAGCCGAAAATAAATGAGCGATCTCTATCTGCCTTTCATCGACCATCGGAGTAATTACTGGTAATATTCCATCGAACCCATCATGTCACCCTGACCGTTGAATTCAATTACTACATTTGCAATTACTGCGAAATAACGTTAACATTTCATATTTTCAACAGTACGTAATTATATGTATGCGTAATGTATAGTTAAAATGCCTCAAATTATTTTTGTACACTTTCTTATTAAGATGTGCGGTTCCGCTAATCTTTTTTAATTAGTTTACAATAAATTGCGGTATCCTATTATTAGACGATTGTTGTTTAGTGGTAAATTAAAGTCCTACTAATGTAGTGCTCTTCTCTGATTCTACAAGATTGCAGATTATTTAGGTTTTTGAACTTTTCCCACAAGCCTAAATCCAACTGACGAAATGTATTGCTTTCGGGATCTTTATTTTTCTCATTATATGAAATGTGAAATTAGTTATGAGGAGTTCTTAATACACATATAGAAACGCTCTTCTAATGACAAATTTCTATTTTCACAATCAAATATATTGCTGGTTGTATGAGAAACTTCTCGAGAATCGTATCTACAGAAGATCGGCCGTTTTAGTTTTTGAGCCGGATGTTTATGTCTGGATATCTCGATTGTGGAACTTTCAATGTGTCGTTTTGGTGTCATATGTCATTGTGTTCTGTGAAATTGTGGTATCTGATCGATTTTGTTTAAAAACAAGCGATTTTACGTTTTTGAATAATCTACTATTTCATAGAAGTAAATTATTTTTCAATCTTCTTGAAACGTGTCTTTTTATTTGTCCAGGTTGCCGGTTATAAATAAATAGGGTTATCGAAATCGAAGGTACCTCACCAAGCTGAATTTTCAAGATTACTGACTTCACCTACAGATTCTCCTGCTCTATACTTTGTAATTATTGATCCAACTCTTAATATACCACATTTACGTAATATAATTGGTAAGAAGTAGGTAATAAGAAAAGTAGAAAAACCTCGCATTAAATTCTATTTCATGCTTTCGCTTTTTAGATCCAGTTTAACCAATTATTGACTTGTTTCAATTTATTTATAGCTATTATGTATGGAATTAATATGTTTGAACTTGCTTCTGTTACCGGTTTGCATTTGCCCCACGAATGCCACCTTTCATTTCCTAAATTTTTTGCTTTTTGGTGTAACAAAATCTTGTACGCGGTATATCATTGCGCATCGCTATATTAACATTAAACATCGCCAGTTCTCTGTGATCTGTAGTATTATAAAGTTCATCTAAATGAGATCAAATACAATTTAGGTCGAAACTTGTAAACAAGGTTGTTCGATTGAATAGGGCATTGAAAGTTAGCTTCTTTATCAAATGCACTTTTGACAAATTTTGATCGACAATACATTAGACGGGACAAAACTGAAAATTCCCCTGTTTCATTTGTATTTGAAGACTTTGCACTATGGATATATAAAGATTGTAGTATTGTTTTCGTAAAGAACAAGTATTACCATTTACGAGACGGAACGTGTCAGAAGAAACCTATACAAAACAAAAATAACAGACATGCATCCATATATATCACGTTGTCGACGAATCCCCCATATTTCTGTTGATTTTACTTTTGATGGTTCATAATTGAGTTATTATTGCGTTTTCTGGTCCTCTATAAGAGGGGCATTAAAGACTAGGGGCGACGTTGGTTGCACTACTGTAAACGTAAGATTTGTCCAAATTGGCAATGGAAATATTTTTCCATATTTTCTTCATTTTGTATTTAAAAATATCAATATACCAATTTACCATTGCCCACAAATGTTTTTGGTATTTAATAATCGGTTTTGTGCAGAGATTATCACTGATTGACTTATTTATCAGATTTATATTGCACACATCATTCCATTTAAAGTTCTATACATGTTAATATATAAATATATGTATTGCTTTTTTTTCTATAATGTAATAATACGTGCTTTCTATTCAAAGTTTTCCATCGGCGCAATTGATACTTATTAGAAGTCCACATATCAAACATCGCACTTCTGCTTGACCAAAATTATCCGGACCTCAACATTAATATACAATTTGAAAAGATTTGTATATAATGCATATGCCCAACTTTGTTCAGGATATCTTGATTTTTCGTAGTAATACTTGATACTAACATACGATCAATTGCATTCATCTCTTACCTCTAAATGTTAAAAAATTTTCTGCTTTTAAATGGTATGTATGTTTTTTTCGTCAAATAGCCTGGAACGACATTTGCAATCCTATGTTGCTATTGCGGGCCTGGGGATATATAGTTACGCAACTCTTGCTCCAGCTCCGTCACTGAGAAATTTTGATAACAAAAACTTGTATGCAATCGTTCATTAATTGTCTTGTGAGAATGCATAGTCAACTTCGATTTTCGCCGGTAAATTCCGGCGTTACCCCGACAATTCTATTCCCCGACTATTCAAGTAACCACTATTTGAAAAATGACTCCCGACTCTAAAATATAATTAAAATATATCCCGAACTCTGAATCCACATACCCGTGGACAGCAGAATAGGGGAACAAAATCACTTGAACACGAATATACACATTTTTATATACACGGTAGTCTGTGTCTGCCTGATTCTGTGCTTTATTTCTCTTCATATCTCATAATTTGAGTCTAGCTCGACTGCACTTACTTGAGGTTTTCTTTGCGGTATCTCTGATATTTATAAACTGCCGAATGTTCAGAATGATTTAAATTTTGAACTGCGCTGAAAAACAGAACTGCATTATATTTCTTTGCTTTTAAATCCGGTGGTGGTATAATGTGCCTTTTATTATTTTGCTTCGGTTGGTGACCTCCATATTTATCCTCATATTTATCTAGCAATAATTAGTAGATGGTACCTGGAAATTGATCTACACCTAGTGGAATAAAACTACATATATCCTCGAAATTGTTTGATGTATTTACTGTTGAGAGAAGAAAATTTTGTCAGAATTATCATATGTGCGTAGACTGGAGACTACCTGACAAATTAGGGAGTTCATTGATGCTACGCCAGTCGTGGTAAAATATAACTAACGCTCACAAACTCGAGCGACACCAGTTCGACTTTCTAATAGAGATGTATCGATATCAGATATCTTTCGGTATCTGTATCGGCTAAATGTAAACCGATGTATTCAGGTTTTAGGTCTGATCCAAAATGTTTTGAAACATAAGTTAGTACAGGGATGCTGGTTTTAGTTATTTTTCAGCCAAACCGTCTCAACTAATTTGTCTATTTTCGCTACCGTTCAAGTTACGATGCAATTAATTCAAGTATTTTAATAGGCCCTTATCGTGGCACGCAATTAATGCATCAATTTCTCATGTTTTGGAATATCTGTTTTTCGAGCTGAAATAATTTGCACTGGAAATATTGCTCATAGACTTGGGGGTTAGTTGCTATAATTGTACATATTATTGGCATTGGAAAATCGGCTTTTGGAAATATAGGTGTATCGGTATCGGCGTTTTTACGTTGGTATCGACAAAAAATCTGGTATCTGTACATCACTACTATGTAATATACGTAGTAAGTTTGTCCGCAGTGAAATGGAATGATGTACCTCTCGTCTGCGACATTGAATGCTTTTGTGATGAAGTTTTTTTGGTAAGGAATAAGGATTCTGAAATATCCATATTTATTGTATATAAGTGTATCTAAATTTCAGCCCCTCGAATTTTTTATTTTGTCATTCCTACCGATAGTCTTGATTTTTGTAACATTATATAATCCACACGAAGTTGGTTGGTACAAAGTTGGTTTCTCAGTCCACCTTTGGACCTCTTACTGGGGCCCAGTATTTATCAGGGTTCTACATTGAGGTCCCATTGATTTTATAGTACGTGAGAAATGTATTCATCAAAAATAAGCAAAATGAAATGGCATGGGTTAGTGTAACCAGCATAGTTCAACATCGATTCCCCGATGGTTTTAGCTGCTGCAAATCTCTTCAAATTCTTTCCAAAACGACTTTTGTAGAGACAGGGCACCTTTCTGAGCACCATTGGAGGGAACCTATTTTCAGAAACTTTTTCAGGTGGACATCTTGGAAATGTGAACGTATTTTGGCAGAGAAAAAAATGTCCGTGCTTATTACGTCACTCTTTCATTCTCCCTGCTTCGCATTTTAGAACAATTTTCGTTGCAGTAAAGTAGGAAGCAACGTTCTCAGGCCGCAGACGCGTCTCTTCTGAGACTTCTCTTATTACCCAGCGCAAGACTTAGTTAATTTGATTTTCAAATATGAAATCTCAACTAGTTGCCAAAACACTAGTTATTGTGTCAATTAGAGCCCCGGTGAAGTTAACATCATTGAACGAATTGTAAACGCAATATGCAAAACAAAAATTATTAAAGCGGTAGGGAAGTTGCAGACTCCACACATGACATGGGCAAACTGCGGCCCGCGGGCCAAATCTGGCTCGTTTAATAATTTAATCTGGCCCGCCTGATGCTGCCAAAACCAAACTAAAACCAAATTTTGATGTTTTTGCTAAAAAAAATAGCTGAAGGAATTTGTTGAGATTGCGATTAAATTTAGTTTTGGCACTAGGTTCATTGTTTTCCAGTTTAGTAGTTGTAACATTGCAAATATTGTTCATAAAATGTAACTTTTTACGTCACACTTACATGGCCCGTCAGTCCGGATGGGCAAACATTTTTGGCCCCTGCTCCTCCTTGCCCACCCCTGCTCTACACTCTATATTTTTATAATATGAACAACATAACAAGAACAACACAACACTGGCAACATTGACTGACCTAGCTGCTAGCATATATATATATCGATAGATTTCACTTCGCTTTTATTAAAACTTTCAACTGCATGTTACTGTATTACATATCAAGTTTCTTTTTTCATCGAAAATAAAGGTTCAATGTGCTGACCGTATTCACACGCGCATTGCCGTCATTCACTGGCCTCAAATGGCCAACTATTGACAACAATGAATCCCAGTGAGATTTTAGGGCTCCGACCACTGTAGCTGTCTTGCGTAAAGTGTAAAAATATATCATGAGAATGTTGAGATGACCCTGAGCACTTCTTTGCCTTCTTTGTTCCTAACGTTAAGACACCCAATATTTTCATTCGCTTTATTTATGTATCATATTAATACAAGTTGGTATATATCGACGGAAGGCATGAGGTGTAAGCAACATAAAATGCTATTATTAACCTATATGAAATAATTCCACAACGGAAGCGTAGAGGCACAAGGGTTGAATCAAAAAGACAGAAATTAAATGTAGGACAAATCGCTTTGAATTGTTACAATCTCGGAAACTTCTGTAAATAATGTAATTTCTATTTCAGAATGGAAAATAAACAGTATATATACAGTTTTGCAGCGCAGAAATTCAAATGTAATATGTGAATTGTCCTCTCATGGAAAAAGGCCTTTGTGAAAATTCATTATCAAATATTAGTTAAAAGTCGAATTGAAACATCTTCTCATTATTCGTTATTGATCAGTTGTAGTTGGTATGAAATCCTCGATGTGGATCTAAAATATGATGGAGCTCGAGTTAGTGACACATTAATTTAAATATTGATGAAGGGTAAGGAAGATTATATTACTAAATTTAGTTTCATCATACAAATGTGGTATACCTTCTATGCAGCCTTCTGGCTTGTTGTTGTACCCATACGGACACTTGCAGGTTGCGCGAGGACCTTTGCGAATGCAAAGTTCATTCTTTCTGCAAATCGTCTTACGTCTACAAGGATCGTAGTGATATTCTGAAACAAATGTAAAGTGATTATTTCAACACAAATAGCAAACCTGCTTTGTTTAATATTCAATTTCGTGACTTTTATATTTCATCAAGGCGGCTTTCTTATGCAAGAATCTAAAAATTCCAAAAATTTAATTAATGCTAAAAATTTAATCAATGAATTGAAATTTACCCATTGGACGTCTCAGGTATTCATACTTTGGCTCTGAAAAAAAGAGTGGAATCGGCGGGTTAACTTTTTAAATATATATAAGGAATTTATCTGTCACGAACAACTAATTCTGTGAATCTACAGAAAAAATGACCTTTTTTATATAAAGAGGTTGTAGAGTGAGTAGAATGTGTTTTTAGATTCTGACTAACGAATTTAGAAATTCCAAAATACATCTTCATCTCCGTAACAATAAGTAATCTCAGTATAGTATATGGCTCTGAATTCCAAGACCAGCTTACAAGTGTGATAGTATAGTTTTAATTATGCTCACCTGACGAAGACGAATAGACGCTGGTACCTGAAAATAAATTATACATTTTCATTTAAGTAAACAGGAATACATGTAGAGATATATATGAACATGCCGGTTCAACACCTATTGAAATCACACGTGAGAACTCAACAAGAGTTTTACAGAATACGTGTTTGCCAACATCTGGCCAAATTAAAATGCTATTTCTAAATGCATCACAAGTCTCAATTTCTGTTATCCGGTTGTAAGTTTTTTTTTAATGTTATTTTACTTTTAGCAATTGCATTGGCGAAACCAGAACTATTGAGCAATTTCAGGGTCATTAAAATAATTTAATTATATAAGTCTTCCATACCCTTCTTAATTTGAAGATCTGTCCTTATTTTTAGGATTGCACTTTAGAAAATAAACTTGTCCCTAATTCTAACATTTGGGACAAATCAATGGGATATCTTCAACATAAATTTCAAAATAAAACAAAGTGAACATGTGACGGTGGCTCGTAAATCGGATAGTGCTACATTTCTACGGGTTCCAATACTGGGTGTTGTTAATATTTATTCATTTCTGAGCTTCAGTATTGTTCTCTTCCAAACCGATTACCTGAGAAGCGCAGCTTTCTACCCATTTACCTTGATTGTTTTTTAGCCTAACCGGTCAATACTTTTGTAAGTAAAAGCGAATATGGACTTGCAAAAAAAAAGTGCAAAACTATTTCGAACGGTGAATAATTATTGTTCAAATCGTATATGGTTATTTATATACTCAAATGTATTTAGACAAACTCGTTATTACCGATTTTTGGTTTCAGTCTAACGGAATTGCCTATGGTATATACCGTACATAAACATTTGAGCAGTCTTACCAATGTCTCCGTGTATTGATCCTGAAAAAAAAAAAAATCAGAGTTATGTTTTGTACTCATGTTGGAGTTGTCTTAGCGTTTGCCTAGCCTGACTGTGAATGCTTCATAACACAAAAGAGGTTAAACTCTTGTTTATGTATATGGTTTATGTATTTTTACCTAGACATATAATGTTTTTGCTGACGAATTGCTTTTTATGCACAGTGATTTCTCCTGTGACTAGTCCTTCACCTCCCCATGCAAATAAGAAATAAACACATTTCTCCAGATTTTTGTCTTTAATATCCTGAATAAAAGAATAAGCATATATGAAATGTCTGTTACCAAAATCGCGATTATTTATTTCCACCCGAATGCTACAATAAAGATACAAAGTTTTGGGTTCTCCAGAAGTGTGTTTACCGATATGGTAATAATTTTGTTCGCCTACTGTACATTAAGTTGGGTAAAAGGACTGAAACCTATTGTCATGGGGTATATTCACTTCGCTAACACGGACAGTTCCCGAACTCATTATAGAACTAAAATACGAAAGATGGGAATAAATTTATAGCCCAACCCTAACCTGGTACACACTCTACTTGAGTACCAAATTTTGTTGATGGTGTACACATACACTCTTTAAAAATATTTGGGAAGGGTCATCTGAAAATTGGAAGGTGTTAGGGTTTTTTGGTAAAAAATAAAATTTTGAGTAATAAAGTAAAACATCTAAATTTGTTATATAAAGTACATTGTTACGTTTCAACTGAACTGTCAGTCAGACAATATGTTGAGTACGATGTCAACATGCTGACAACATGTCATACTTGGGTTGTTATACAGCTAAACTTACGTAAGTGTTTCTTCTTCTTTTAAATCGATATTCCATCATACCATCTTGATGATAATACGATGTCGGGGACACATCAGAGTATCTATCAACAGGAACACTGAACCTTGATTTTTCCGCCAAATATCGATCTTGCAACACCAGGCCACCACCTGATGTTATCCACCCCGTAATTCCATCAGAGCCGACCTAAAAGCAAATGAATAAAAATCGGGTTTCATTCATGTTAACATGCTTTTGCATATTTTTCGCGCATATTTTTTGATTATTAGATGGATAGCCACTGATACAAAGAGTCATGCAATGTACATGGAATTATTAAAAGTTTAAAGATGACCAATTGCTATCTATGTTTCAAATTTTGGCGTAATAATAAACAAATGGGTAGTCCCTAACGCTCAAAAGATGATTTCCATATCCACTTTTGAGTTATTTCAAGAATGGCAGCATCAGCATGCAAAATTATGTTCTGCACAACATCTTAAGAACGGGATGGATTTGAGTAAAAAAGTAACTGAAAAATTCAATTAAGATTGAAAATGCGATAATGAAAGAGCAAATACCCCATTGCTATGGAAACCCAATGAATAGATTTTTAAGTTAAGATTTGTCTTATGTTATAAGAGTAATTCAATAATATTATAATTCAATAGTAATGGAGCGTTTCATTTTACATAAGGTTAAAAAATGCCTTCGTTTTGTTGAACTGAGCTTGATGCATTTAATGTGAAAAATTAATTTTCAAAACAACCTTTTCGATGTTTTTGAATTTCGAACTACACAATTTTTGCATATAATTGTTAATTGTATATAAGTTCTAATTAAATTTGACTGCGAATAGTGTTTAGTCTAATCATGTTGTAACATGATCCCTCGAATTATTTTAAATTTCAGGCTTTCCGTCATGAACAACTTGATACCAATAATTTTTCTTACCATTGATCTATCGTCCGAAAATCCAATTCCAGCCCAATATCCCTTAGGCAATCTGGCTGAAATTATGAAGTAGACATCGTTTGAAAGTATATCACTTTCCCAAGATGCCTCGAATTCACAATTATATCCAGCTTTACAGTTTGCTGGGTATCTGAAACAACCTGAATAGAAAAGTTGATTCATGTAGAGAGATCAAGTGAGTAAATTATCGATATTAATAAATTAACGAAAACGGGATACCGATTCTTTATAGTGATCTTATAGGTTCGGGATACATTATAGGTAAGAACTACACTCAATTGCAGTAACATTGACGAGTTTTCCGTATGCTATACATTTGAAATGTAATTATTAGAGATGCTTTGTTTGAAATACTCGATTGACTCGATCACCATTTCGATATCGTCAGGCAGATTTTTCTCAAATTATATATTCATTAATACAGCCAAGGTTAAAGTTTATTTCAAGTTACAAGTGCATGAATCTACACAGTTCATTTCTACACGGGCAATACCATTTATTATTATACCTTCCTCTTCGTAGCCGTAGTCATATTGTTGTTGGTTCGGAGGATATGGCCTTCTTGGAACATCTAAGACAATAAATATGAGTAAAAAAATAATAATATACTATATTGACTAAGTATACACCAGTCTATTTATTAATGACCCTTATAAAAACCTTTCAAATCTTTCCAACGATTCGGGCGAGATAATCTGGGCCACGACATGCCGTATCTATGTAAATAATTGTTTCAAATAATATGTTTGCTATGATGTATGGAAGTGTACGTCACTAATAAGACGAGATGGAGTACGTAAATAGGTCAAACATGCTTTATAATTAATTTAGTTAATATACAGGGTGTTAAAAAAGTAACGCAAAATTAACAGAAGTCAAGATGTAATGCTACTCAAAATATTTAACGACTGACACCTTTTAACAATATTGATTACGGTGAAATGCCTTTTAAACATTTCACGACTGACGCTTTTTAACAGTTACTTTTTTAAAGTTGCCATGACGAACAATTTTACCTTAATTTCGCGCAAATTTTTTAACACTGCTTTTTTTGCCATAAATATGCAATTTTTTATGAAGCCTTCGGCAAAAAAAAAAAAAACATGTATTGTTTTAAATCTGCACACTCTATTTGACTTGTTTACAATAACTAAGGTGTGCTTCAGTTTGAATACTGGTACCTCATGGTACTGCCATCAACGAGGCGTTCTAGATGCAAATTGATTGCACATTTTTTCTGTTTAAACAATATACCCCTGAAGGGGTCTGACGTGCAGATAAGCTGTAACACCATAATCTTGTTGTGACGTCTTCGGCATGACCCTATCTGGTTGTAACAATCAAAATAACTCTGAGAGTTGCAACATTTTCCAAAATTGAAAAATGCGTATTATCAGTACCATACAAACAAAAGCATACTTATGCAAAATTGGAAGCAATGTTCAATTGTCGAAAATAAGACAGCTACCTAACTATGTGTGAGTTTCAATGCTTTGCAATCGGAGATAATAACGGCGGCAATTTACCTTGATAATGACTTGGTTTGTTGTCTACATAATCTTTTGGCACATAACCTGGAACTTCATGTTCTGTGGAGTCACTTACGTAATTTTCATCATGTCCACACACATTCTCCAATACCACAATGAGCGTGAGGATAGCCAAGCAGCGGCTTTTCATTTTAACTTTAATTAGGTTGTACTTGAAAATATAATTTGTGTTGCCAGATTAAATAAATAAATCAGATGAAATAAAAGATGAATGTGCATTTCAATCTCAATCTTGTACGAACAACTAACCATTCTTCATTATTTTGTCTTCTTACTACTTGGAAGCTTGATATACCCGTTCTAACAATCAATTTTATCTCGTTAATAATCTCGTCAGATGTTTGTTTACGATAGCTCTTATTTTATGGAAGTCTCCCACTAGCTATTTCCTCGGCAGTATTGACTGAAATAGTTTTAGGCCATGTGCCAAACAATATCTACATGCACCACCACCGCAAGAAAGAGCTTTATGATACGTTCATCTTCAAACCGAGGGTTTGAACTTGTTTTGAGGACAGTATATAAATATATAGGTATATAAAATCTTCCTTGTGTACTATACTACTAAACAACGAATGCCGCAGAAATATCTTTGCTTAACATTTTAAACTTTTTGCCTTTGATTGCACAATGGCATTTTCTGTCGAAAGTCAAAACAAAGCTCGGCGCCAAACAACTAGTTAGCGTTACATAACACGGAGCACGTTCGCTCCAATCTTGATAAATATTATTGTTTCCAGCGGTTTTTGTATAAAATGCGGCCGATAATTTGAACGTTGAAAACAAAATACGTTGAAAACTGGCACTTTAAATAATTATCGTCTCAAACCCTTTGATTAAAAATATCGCAAGCGTTCTTTCGTTAAAATATTTCCTGTTTTTATATTTTTGTCGTGTTGTTTTTATTCATTTTATTTCATACTTGTTACACCATTGCAAATGCCGCAGGGGGAGTTACACAAGCACGGGATGCCTAAACTAACTAATGTAAAATAAATAAGGATATTATTCTACTTGAATTTGAACGTATTGTCGAGATGTTTTCTGTCAAAACGAGTCATCCAATTAGCCGTAAATGCGTAGGGGTATAGAAATAATGCGAATGACCGGAGGTGTAGTTTACGAATAAAAAAATGATAATAAAAGTAAAGCATCGAAAATAAATCATGTTTTATCGTCTAATGAGCATTATTCCAAAAATGTCCGATCATACCCTTTTCGCTTTTATTTTTACTTTAATTTCGAACCCATTAAACTTTTTCAAGAAATAGATATTGATGTTCATCATCCGAGAGTTTATATTTAGTTTACGAGTAAATAAAGATATTTTGTGAATCTTGTTTATATATAGAGACGAAATACATGACGTATTATTTGATGGAAATTAAATAACAGTCCAATATGTGAATCCAATAAGGGTTTGGCGGCATTCTATTCATGAGTAGTAACATGAGGTTTAGCGTAACAATTGGTATATGTACAGTTTTTTTTCGCGTTTAGAGATTACTATTGTATTCCACATATGAAATCCGGATATCAGGTATTTGACAAAATTGTTTTTCACAAGAGTCAGAAATCTTTTTCGCTACATATTTTACATCGGGTGATGAATATAAAATTATGTACCAAACAAATAAAAGTATATTTGAAAATAATCTTATTGCAACTGCTGATATCAGGTGCTATGGCCTCAAGCAGCTGCATTCAGGGGGTCAGTCTTACTGTAACCTAATATGGATTTAAGTGCTGCAAGGTGGAAATGACATAAATTCTGTGTTAATATTTAGCTGAAGGGTCAAAATATACTACGTGATAATTTTGGCAAATTTTGGATAAACACTTTTTTTTGCGAAATTCATCAACCCTTGCTTGAAATTGTTGGTCATTAATAGGAAAGAAATGATATTACGATGAGAAAATTTGAACGAATATTGTTGTTTACATATAGCTACTATGGTTCAATATTGAACATTCTTGATTCCGCGTATATCAGCTAATTCTGCAAAAACGACAACAATTAGGTACATTATTCTACAATTGAAAGGAAAGAATGAGTGAACAACAACACAGTTTCTACTTAGTTATCGAGAATGAGTGAACAACAACACAGTTTCTACTTAATTATTTCCAATTTCTACTTACTTGAAATTGTTGGGAAAAGAAGCTGTAATTGGAACATAACGACAATAAAAAGAAAAAGAACATCTTCTAGAGATTACAGTGTGCAATTAGAATTCCGCGTAATTGTTATCTGCTAACATTTTTACGAAACTTCCAGTCTTTATGTTATCTTACAGTAAATTAGCGTTCTTACGTTGTTTTAAATTCGCCTAGAACAACTGTCATCAAAATCAGGCTATGTAACTTAAGTTTAAAGTTTTTCTAAGTTTAAAGTAAATTTTTTCCAGCTATTATGTAATTACGCCATATCTGACAGCGCGATAAGTTGTTATTACGTCGACTTTTTCTTATTAGTCAACGTAATCATTTTGCTTTCTATTATAATCTACAAGCTATTTCTCCCTGAAACTATCTGACCATTAGGATTTTGAATTTGTTAAAGGAATTTTTAAAAATTTCTCAATAACAAAATTATATGATTTGTCAATTTAATGAAACCTCAATGTTTTGTTTGGCTAGAAAGCAGAATTGGCTCTCTCAAGGATTACTCGCTACTTAACCACCCTATGCTGCAATAAATTGACACAAACTGTTGCAAAGCTACCCTGTTATTATCTGCTTTGATTCGTTTTATTTTAATTATTGGGGAATATTTAATTAAATCCTTGACAATAGCATGCCAAGAGCGACAAGAAAATATAGTAACGTGAATTAATATCTTTTTCTGAAATTTAGTTTTAGCTCAATCCTCGCAAATGGCGGATACGAGTTCACTTCTGTCGTAGGAATAGCTAGTCAAAGAACCGTTTCAAATGCAGAAATGTAAATTATTGAGCAGTGACAAGCGGTTAACTGTTATGTGAACCACACAACGACGCAGAGGAATTTATATTTCGCGCGGGAGGGGTCTATTGACTACAATTCTTTTTATACCCGTATCTCAGCTAATATTTTATCACTACACGACCTTTTTTTCAATGGCGTATGATTATTCATTTAAAAGCACTTATTTAAAACTCAGAATGGCAAAGATATGCAAAACTATTTATATATATATATGTATAAATTGCATTACTCGTCGTTACATTATCATAATTTGTACTAACCCTTCATCGATACTTCAGATTTTTCGTATTTGAATATTGTTGACGTTCATTTATATCTCATATTTACCTCGCATCATTTCAAATATAAACAAAATATATATCAATATTATCAATCGTCAAAGCATACTTCGTGCCGCAAACCTACCAGAGGCGCGATAAAAGCGCCATCTTTTAGTGAGTGTTTTCATCACATATTTATGGCAATGGAAAAAAGAAAAATCTTTATAAGTCAATTTATTTTATTCTTAACGAAGTAAAAGAGAATAGAAGCAGGCTGGATTTTCATCTCCTCTCAGTAGTATCGAAGTGGACCTGCAATAAAAATATAATTCAATAATTTCATTCAGAAATTAGACACAATGCGAATAGATTGAGAAGGGAATAACTAGACTGTTGCTTGTTACCGCATTCCAGTAGCAAAAGTACATTTACATGTACCCTAGATTACGGACAATAAGATGCACCCTGGATCTTTTTTGTTCTCAAAAAATAGATCGAGAGCCTCATATATGAATTAGGTAGTGCATCATGCTTTATTGCCTATACGCCTTATGTTTGTACAAAATCCCAATGTAAAGAAATTTATTGACGGTGTGCCTTAGGCTTAGGGGGCCGTAAAATATGGCAGTCATTTATCTACACAGTGTTGAAGTGTCTTCTATCTATGGAATATGCTCGGGAAAACAAGTTGTGATAGGCATATTACGTATTATATATATATATATATATTTAATCGTTATTCAGAACTAGCAATAAATCAAATATATAATCTAAATCTTTTCAGAAACAAAGCCGAAGTCCAATTTGGAAATTTTTGTACGCACTGTTTGAAAATTCAATTACAAATCGTACATTAAAAAATATTCACGCAAAATATCAATGTGACGTTCACACATTGAAGTTTGTGTGATTGGTAAGCTGTAAACTCATTTGAAAAATATGGAATAATCACGATTGTCGGTAGTTGGCGCAGGTGAGCAATTTTAATACGACAATTCAGATTTTAGACAATATTTTACCTCCAACACAATATGTGCCAACCAAACGGAATCGTCCCCTGCATTCACATTTCGCCTGGTGATTTCCATATCTTACACAATATTGATTCCATTTACAGGCGATTCGTTGACATGGATCGTAGTAATGCGCTGTCAATCATCAAATAATATTTGATTTTTTAAATTCGATACACAAATAAATCATTTTTTATAAGAGTGGGAATTTTACATAGAAGATTAACGTCATTAATAAAATATAAATCAAATTATGATTGTAATTTCGTGGGTTTATCTTTTTCTATTTCAAATTTTTTAAAGAAATCTTACGCATTGGTCTTCTGAGGAAATCATACGTCGGTTCTAAAGGAAAATCGTTGATACATTGTTATAAAACTACAAAAATGTTTCGAGATAAATCAAAATATTTTTGTTTATTAAATAAATCACATGACAGGTTTCATATTGAAACGAAATATTTCGTTATGTGTATTTCAAATAAATATGTTAATTTAATAAAGTAGTGTCTATAAGAGATAAAAGCAACTTTCGATTTGGAACTTTATGTTTGAAATCTAAATTTACGACAGAAAAACGTAGAATGTATACGAACCTCTGTATGATGTTCCCACATGCGAACCTAAAAAAAAAATGTATGAATGATTTTTCGTAAAAATTACTGTGAAGTTTCTAAAATTAATTGCAGAAGTTGTATTTTTACCATTTACAGTAATGTCATTAATAATTTTCTATTGTGCGTATTACATCTACATTACCATAAGTAAATGCTATTGGCCCGCAGTGTGTCCCGCTCATGAAACTGTGTTCATACAAAGCCGTTACAATGTTTTTCGATAGAAAAAAACTATACAGTAATAAGCATAAAAGACATTGAAAATAAAAACAGTTTGAAATAACAAAAAATCGTACACGAGATTTCATGAATATAAATAAAACATTAGAATATTAACCTGTTGATCCGAAGATTGAGCCTAAAATAGAAAAAGAAAAGTCAACTTCTCAAGCTATAATTAGAGTTATTGCCAAAGCAAGCATTTGTTTATAGGATAAATATCAATGCAAAAACCTGGGTAACATTTTTTAAGTATAATAGTGCAGGAGAAAACTTTCCAATTTGTTATGATTTGGATTCATTTGATTTCTCAACTGCTAATGATGACTGCCAATTTGAACACGTGAGTAACAGGAGTCTAGGAATATACATACATAATCGAATATCGTTTAATGGCATTTCAAACAATTTTTATACAAACAAAGATCTAACTGTACAGAATGCCATTCATAGGTAAAACTGAACTACTGAATTTTCTGAGGCCTGAAAACTTTCTGATGCATCATATAGTTTGATCAACAATTTAAGACATAGTTCTTTATTGTTAATATCAATATAAGACACTCACTTACCTAAGCATATTGGAATTTTGCTAACATATTTGTGAGTATGAGCAGCAATATTTCCTCCTTGGTGAGCCCGACCTCCCCATGCGAATAGGAAGTAGACGCAGTTGTAGAGATTTTTATCATTAATCTATAAATGTAAAAGATAAAATGTTGATAAAAATCTCTCGGATTTCCTAATATGTAACAATATTAAGTGGTTGCAGTTGCTGTAAATGCGCAGGGTCTGGATATAGATTCACACGGAACTTGAATACTTGTCTCACTAGCAAGAAACTCGCGGAATTGTTGTTGAACGGGAAGATGGTTGATTTTAAATAACCAGCCTATGCTTTCACTCGACACGTACTATCTCGATAAAAGACTTATTAAATTACTGTAATGCATTTTTTTAGTAATCTTACGTCATATGTATTTCGTTTTCGTTTGAAAACGAATTTCAGCATTCCGTTATGATGGCCGTACGATGTCGCAGAAACATCCTGGTATTTGTCGGGTCCCACAGCATCCGGAGATCTGCCTTTCAAATATCTATCCGTCAATACAAAATTATGGCCGTACTCTTGCATATGACCGGTAACGCAGTCAGAGTTAGGCTGCAAAAATATTTAAAAAAGAATTCAATATCTCATATTCCATTCAGTATTATGTTTAGCGGAAAGAGAAAAAATTACGAACCGTTGAAAAATAATGTTTGTTATTAATAAAATTGCCCACAACATCTTGCAACTGTTTTTGCCCATGGTTACATAAATGAACAAACGGAATATCGTGCAATGTAACACAAAGAATACACCACTAGATGTGATTTCATTTTCCTTTCTCGGTCTCGCGACCACGAGTGCTTATTTTAGGTGCTTGCTTATTGCTTTTATCAGAAAAAATGCTGTTTAAAAAATTTCTTACCATGTATGGGTCGTCAGAAAATCCGATACCAGCCCAGTACCCTTTTTCAACTTTTGCGGTTATTGTAAACCAGACATCTTCAGAAAGAAAAAAGCTTTCCCATTTTGCTTCATATTCGCAGTCGATGCCCGATGCACAATTCTTCGGGTATCGAAACACACCTAAAGGAATATATCAATACAATAACAATTTAGTAATAAAAATTTGATGTCAGTGCAGTTTCATGGAAAATTATGCACAAGATATTACACAAATTTGTGGCTTGGTGAGTTATCATCCATCACTTGGTGTCCTACTTCAGCCTAGATGGCACGCCTGGCATGAAGCAGCTGTTTGCTGCTAGTTTACTCACGAGAGTTGAAATATCGTTGATGCAATAAGAGGTGTGTGTGTTTGAAAATATGTGAATATAAATTGGGCGAGATTTCACCGGCTGTCACGGCGTGAAACAAGGCCTACTCGGGGAATCAAGAGATGCGAATACCGATAAGTATATTATTATATATCTCAGTTAAATACCAAATATTGCAAAGAATTACAAACAAGGCAGTGCGTGCAAGTTTAGTATATGCTCACCATCGTCTTCGTATCCCTCATCTGGGACGTATGTTGGTATGGGCGGTGTAGGTGGTTGAGCAGTTGGATACTGGGGGAAACGAGGGTTTATAGGATATCTGTTTTTATAAGGCGATTGGGTTTCGGGTCGAATATATTGTGGTGGATCTCGAGAAATATATTGACGGGCGTACTGGGTTTTATAAGATTCCGTAGTTGGACTATAATATTTGGGCACTGTTTGCGTTGAGTACTGAGGTACTCTCCGCGTTTGATATTGTGAGATAGGCGGCTGGGTAACGTAAGGTGTTGACGTAGTAGGCTTGTAATAGATGGTTGCAGTTGGCATTGAATACTGAGGTACTCTACGTGTTTGGTATTGGGATGCCGGTGGTCGGGTAACGTATGGTATTGGAGGAGGCGTCTGAGGAGGACGTTGAGGTGAGGTTCCTGTGAATATAAGTTAAAGCTGAGACCAATTGAATTAGTAGTAACCAGTATACGTATAGAGTCCAACCAAATGAAAATTACAACCTAGTCACTAAATTTTGTATGATATATCATGCCTTCTCTGTGAACAAGCATTTTTACAATTCCAATCTATCCAATGATATTGAGGGAGCTACCATGTAATGGTCGTCATCAAAGTCAGCCATTTCTATGGTGTTCACTATTAATAAACACTTACGGATGCAAACTCTTTCTTGGCTTGCTATCGCCATTGTGTGAACGGTAATCGCTGTCTCTCCATACGCATTACCACCCCATGCATACAGAAAATACGGACAGTTATTCAGAGGAAGATCCATTGTGTCCTGGAAAATATGACACTGTAAAGAACTGACGAAAAAATGAAAAAAGAATGTTTAGAAAAGATACTCTACCCCAGTAACAAGTGGACGGATAAATGTAAAAGAAAGAAGTCCGTCGATATGTGTTCCTTGTGAGCTTGGGAGATCTTGCATCTCATCTGGCCCAACTTGAAATTGATTTCTTGATTTGAGATACCTATCTTTAACAATAAGATCGTCTCCATATAATGGGTAGAATCCTGTTATAGCATCGGAGTCTGGCTGTTTAAAACAAATTCTCGTGAGTTAGCGGTAACACAAGCTGACATTAATTTGAAGACTCATAATAAAACCGTAATGGGTGCTTAAATTAATAGTTTTTATTTATTGCATATATATAGTTAAAACAGCCGTATATACTGAAAGAATAATCTAAAATGTAAGCATTTTCATATTTTTTCTGTTACGTAATTGCTATAAATAGCACTGTACAGAACTGGAATATTTTTGTTGGAAAAACGTGTGATCTAATAACTAGAATTATACTGATAACGCATTATCAGCTCTTTTGCCGATGTCGCTTAAATTTATTAGGCTGCCAACTCGTTGCAATTACTTAAACATCAACATTTACCAGACATTATCAGGTGATTTGATTAGGAAATGGAACAGGAATGTAACTGATTTAATCGGGACTGGACATTACGTAATGTGGTTTCGTGTGATAAAAATAATAATGTGGTGTTTCTCTTACTTGAACCATTTTCACTGTTGTTGTTGTACTGCCTCACCAAATTCTATTCGAATGGGAAGCAGGGTACAGCGCAACACAATAATTTTTTCATCTGGGCTAATTTCAATATTTATTGTGTTAGTTGCCTGCCACAGAACTTGATTCAATAGTGTCAACATGGGCATTAACAAATTGCATTCCAATTTAACAAGTGGTAACCTTAAGTTGTTCAAAACAGTGTAGAAAAAACATTTATTTCATTTGAATACCATTACAACTTGTATATTTTGCAAACCTAATTTTGCCAAAAGAAAATGATCTTTAAAGTGTAGCGAGTTTAATAATAAGAAACATAATAAATGTTTGACTAAATTAAATATTATAGACTTCCGGATTTGAATGTGGACTCGCGGAACCCAGGGACTGTACTGGCTAACCCCAGGGTGCCGCAGAACCCCGGTCGATCCCCACTGCTTGGTGACATGAAGAAACGTACTCGTTTAAAAATATATTCAATAGTTATGCGGTATTGAAATATGACATTGTTGTTATGCGTGTCTCGATAATATCTCTTAATAATATCATCCAAGTACATGAAATAGCTAAAAAGCTGTAAGCCCAATTTATTTATTTGATAGACAAACTATAGACTGAGAACGATTCATTTAGTAAAACTGGAAATATTTAACATGTATGAAATATTTACAATTTTGTGTGTGCAGCAGAAACCAGGATCCTGATCGAAATGAGTTCACTTACCATGAATCGATCGTTGGAAAATCCAATAGCAGCCCATATACCGCGTCGAACTCTCGCTTTGATGCTAAATTGGACGCTCTCTTGGGTAGGTAAATATCTCCACGATGCCATATAAACACAAGTACGATCTGGACATCCTGCTGGATATCTGAATGACTGGTCTGTAATGTAATCAAATTGAATGATATTACGTTTGACTAGTACTGAACAGAGAAATATTGTGATCGTTTAAAACTCAAAGTAAAAACTGTTTACTTGTTTTAGTGCCGTTTTACTCTACACCTCGTCGAGGTCGTCAAACCAATTTGAAATGACAAAACTTCATGAAATAAATGAATCCAAATGAATTCACTTTAGATTGCGACATTATACGATGTATCCAGGGTCAATCAATGCCTCCGTATATATACTTTCGTAATTAACCTAAGCTGCGTTTTTCAAGAAGAATTCATTATGAGTTTTCGGGTTCGAATTTCTCTCGGTTTTGCATTTGGTTTGTACCATAAATATTCTCCAAAATATAAGAAATAGAATTGATTAGATTATGCCGAATTTTGTAGAACATTTGTAGAAAATAGTCGCTCGTCTACAGCCTCTTAAGGGGTTTTATGAGGGAAGATGCCTTAATTAAAAAAAGGTCTGACTTTCTGATTATTACGTCATATATATTTCCCATCATTAAAAAATATTTAATCCTACTGCCATTAAACCAGTCAACCAAGAGCGGCACATATCCAATAAAAAAGCTTTTTGTATTGAAGGAAAAACTCAATTTAAAAAGTCGTATTCAGACAATATATATAAATATATACACGGGCGGAAGTTTTACTACGGGTTCATCGTAAGCAAAACGTCAATTTTCTAATTTTTATGTAAAGCAACGTTGCAAAAATATCGTTGATTCGAATAGGATTAAAAAAAACTTTAACGTTTTGTGATTTATGTCAAAATCATCATGGCGCAATTATATCATGGTCGCTTTGAATTAAATAGAGCCCGAATAATTTTTACCCGTATTTGGTTTAATATTAGCGCAAATTCAATCTACCGAACATTGTACTTCTTACAACGCTTCTTAGTTTGGGCGGAATGATTATCATTGTCGAACCTATTTTGTTCAGAATGCACTTTCAAATGCAAGAGTTCCACATTAATGTTCACCCATCGGCAAAGTAATTGATAGATTATGCACCCATGCTCTCTGCCTGCACTAAAGAATAAGGACAATCATGAACCCTTGATACGAACGCATCACAGATCAAATCCCGGTTATTTTGTTCAAAGATTATTTTCGCTACAAATAAAATCACCGTCACCGTCAATAATTACGTTTTGCGGTTATCACCCTGCATAGGAGATATCGCTCTAAACCTCCATCTCAAATTTGCATAATAAGCTATTGCGATAAGAACCCGAAAACAAGGGCAAAATCTGCATTCTGTTTAAATTTTTTATTAATTATTAGCAGTTGTTCGATGACGGCGCAAATTTCTTGAAAGAGATTAAAATCAAATATTTATACGTGGAGATTATAATGACGCTTCAGGGTGCCTAATTAATCACCGGTTAATTGCGCATGATCATTAGCAAAACATAGGTGTTTTAGTAACCTTTTAACATTATATATCATACTCATAATATACTTATGCTATGTAAATTTATAAAAATAATAAGCATATTTTTTCAATATGATTAATACATAAAATTTTGTCGTCATTATATATGGATTTTTTAGTTTAAAAAAAAACATTACACAGATTTACACACGACAAGACAGATTTTTTTCAATTCAGATCAAAGAAATTTTCACTTTTAGTAACTGACAATTGAACAACTTCCGTGAAATTTTGAGCCCAGCGCATTCATTACCAACAATTCAGGCAGTGATTCATTTTGGCGTTTAGCGATTCATTTTTTTAAAATTCTGTATCTTGTTGTATAAAGAATATTTGAAATGGTACTTCCCTATACTATTTTTTCATTCCATTGCGCATGTTATAACCAACTTACCAGATGGAGAAACAGGAAACATAGAACTCAGTCGGAGATGTCCATCTGCGTGGATTCCGATGAAGAATGCCGACAAAATCAAGACAGCAAACTGCATTATTATTTACTTATGATTATTCTTATAGAGCTATAATAACAAAAAACAGAAGATAGCGTTTTCTATTTAAGCAAAATCGAGTATGATCCACCGAAAAATTTATAACTATATTTTAGTCTACAGTTAGATATAAAAATTAATACTATATTATGTGTTTTCGAAGGCATATATATTGCTATAATATCAATTTATTTTATGTCTATCGCAACGCCTCTAACTTTTTAAAAAGTACCTCGTCATTGACCTAAGGTGTTTTTATTAATGCTCGGAATGGAAGTGCAAACTTGCAAATAAAACCTTTTTTTCTATATGATGTTGCACATGCAAAACACGCTATCGAAGATTTTCCTCAATAAGAACATGCTTATATCAATATACTTGAGAATCAATGCGTATCTTATGGGTTCATGTTGCCTTAATTTCAGGACACGAGTTATGAAAAGTTTTTCATTTTCAATTTCATATCAGTTACCAGAATATTACCATCACCTTACTATGAAGAAACAACAACACGAATTTCCGGATAATATTCACATTTTATGCATTCGATTTGCATGCTTTTTGGTATTACGTCACGTTTTATGCTCCCTGAGTGAACTTTTCAATAAAGACAAAATATCATAAGTAAATGCAACATCACGATGACGTTATTGTAATGCTTGACTTATTTCAAATAAATACAAATTTACGATAGTAATTTATTAGCAACAAGTTCGTGACCCAAACGAATTATTACGCATAATAACTTATGGCGTATTCATAATGCTTAACTTTATGCAAATTGAAATTAATATAGACAGTATTTTTAGCAATGTTTTATGATGACATTTAAATAATTCAGCTTAACTTTTATATCTAATAAATTGAATTAACGATTAACGATTTTATAGGCATACAGTTGTTAAGTGTATTTCAACTAAAGAACTTCAATCTTGTTGCCATTATATTTCACTCTTATTATGTTCCGAACGAATTATATACCAGCCATTTGAACTACTAAATTCAACTATCAACCATATCAAATAGCTTAAGACAAAATCGTATATAATTATGATTGGGTTATTTGATTCAGAGAATGGAATCGATTTATAAAATGACATCACTTGCTTCAATTTTTGTAATTCAATCCGATGAAAGGTGAACGATCTGGAATTGTCATTGAATCAGTTTCGACGAAGCAGGACAATGCTGATTTTAGCAAATTCTATAGATTAGAATTAGATTTTAGAATACCAACTTTGCACTCTTTAATCTTTACACATTAAACATTTATACCAGGAATTAGTAGAATGAATCGCGACAAAGACTCAATCTTTGTTGTTCATTGACAACTACAACTTGACATTTTAGGTTGCAAACCACTCAACGTCTGATAGGTGTCTTCCGAAATATGAACTATCACCATAGTCCGGAGTAGACATTCAGACTCATATCACAAATTTATCGGAGAATACTGCGCTTTTTCTAAATTCTACTTGTTGTATTAACCGGTCCTTTGAATTTGTCTTATGAAACCAGGAAATTCCAACGTACTAATGCAGGTGGCGATATTATCGATGAAACTTGTTGAATGGTCTGTGAACCAACCCAGGTATAAAGATACGGTTAGATAAGGCAAATATTTTGTTCCATTGTGGATTTGCTGCCATACAAAATTATTTTCCTCATATAAACGTGGTTAGCATAGAGTTTCATATTTCTGACTAGGTTGCCCCGAGGTTGCGATTATAAGAGAACACGAACAAAGATAGGGGATACACTCGTGGTTATCTACTTGCGTGAATTTGAATTTATCATAAACCGCTGAAAAGACAAAAGATTTTGAAAGATCGAAGTCACGGGCCCATTAGAGCCGTATTTCCAAATGACCAATAAACGCCAGCAATATTTAAAACGGGAGGTAACGCTGCAATTTAGGCGTTTTAAATGACTTCAACGAGCCAAATTGCTAATGACAATCCACCCATTATCAAAGGCATCACATTGTTTTGTGTTCATACCTAAGCACGCCGAACTCTTTATACCTGCCTCGCAAACCCCTACAGCCCAACGATCTGATATCCTGCTTGCACATCCACAAAATATATTCCATATCGCGATAATTTACCATAAAGTTTGAAGGAACATAACTTCAAAAGCTGCAGCTGGAGTTATACATTCGACAAGAGTTATACGATGAAACGGGCGAAGTATTATCCGTAGAATTTTTTTTATCGATTGCGAATCGTAAAAGTTGTAACCATACAAGGTCGCTCAGTTATTTAAAAAACGACCAACCCCAGACTATAGAGCCGCGTGTCAACACTTTCTGTCGTACCCGCGACGAGAAAACAAGTTGTTAGTCCTGGGTCGACTGTTGGATCTATGCATATTCACTGCACTGGATTTCGTTATAAATTCCCATGATGTATAAATTGCAATATTTTTTTTCAATTCGAAAATAACCTAAAATGTTATAAACAACAGCATGAGTAATGCATATAAACGGGAATTTATGATTAAAAAGGTGTTCGTTTTACAAAATTCATTTTACAAAAAGATTGTTCGTCTGCAACAGCTTGTCACGGATTTTTACGATCATATCATTTTTTAACAAATCGTAGTCGCGTTCCCTTGTTTCTTTCTTTGTATTACAATTAATGATATGCATATTTCAATTTTTTAGGGACTTTATTATCACATCAATAAGGTCACACATTGGATAATTTGACACAATGCGAAACTTTTGTACATAATCGTGCTTATTAAACGTGTTTAGTCCGATTAAGTGGACTTTCTGACAATATTAATAAAACTGGTAAAATTCACTGATATTTTTTTAGGACGGCAAGAAAAAATGGAAAGAAGACATTATCCAAACAATTAACACCGTGACCATCTATGAATCTGACAAAATCAACAACAAATTAAGCTCATGATTAATATATGGACGTAACAAAATATCTGGCTGCGTTTTATAACCAAAAATTTCCCAAATATATATGTGTAATTGTCTACTTTTAAAATAAGCGTTCATATATTCGATAGCATCCTATAATTATATAATTGTTTATATAAACAATAGAAAATTTTCAAAATTATTATTATGCATTTATATTGTATATAATGTATATGATCAAAATAAACGTGCCACGCTATTAAATCGCAATAAAATTCGAGTTCATGTAAATAATATTAAAACAAATTTACCGACATGAACGTTTAAAAAGTAATTAAATTACAATGTGTTATATACAGTTAGTGAATATCCTTGTAGAATTAACTATATTGTTTCAAAAAACAGTTCGGAACTACACAACACTAACAAGTTATTGCCCTATTAATACCTGATCAACATATAAAAATTTAAACTATCGTGAATATCGGAGAAAAAGAATTTCTGTAAAAGTACCATAAATCCTAATCCTACATTTTTAAATCCCCTTACAAAGCATGTGACCTAAATGGCTTACTACTTTCTGAAACATTTTTTGATAAAATAAGAAAAAACGGGGTTTGGAAGCTTACAATAAAGTTCTTGCGTTATTTCTATCATTATTTTATTACAACTTCTAAATATTTAATCGAATACCACAATCCCTTTCAATATACCAAACGTTGTCATGAAATTAAATAAATCCATAGATATTATTCTACATTGTGCGAAGATATACGTACTCTTTTCGCTTTTCTCAATAACAATTTCACGAATCATATGTTCTTTAATCACTGCATTATCTTTTTCTCATTCAAAAACTCAATAGAATGTATCCAAGTGTATGAAGTATATAAGGCGTATATATACAACTCCTTGCTCCTAACATTGATAGACCACTTTGATTGAAAAATAATTAAATTACTGTAAATTTCGTCTTTTTAACATTATAGATTAAATACAGTGTGTTTATAAATAATTCATTTTTCATAATTGTTAAAATTAATTGACCAAAGAGATGAAGAAACAAACATCATTCCTTCAATTTATTTAATACACAGTAAGAAATTCTTCACTCGGATCAGTTATAGCAAACTATTGTAAATGGAAAATCTACAGTTTTCAAGAGTGTTCCGTCAAGTAAGAGAATTAAAATAAATTGTCACATAAAACAAATATACTGACAATGAGCGCAATACAACTAAACCATCTCATCATTTGAGTAATGCACACTAATCATTATCCCTTATTTAAAAAGCGTTTGGTTGTGTTCTGTCGGTACCTTCTTCTTTTGACTTTGATTTCACGATATGGTGTCTATTTGATATCGCCGATATCACATGTCCGTTACCTGACCCGTAAAATGGGAGAATATGACCTTTGGCTATATTTTGCGACGGCACTGCGGTTTGGTGTAATGATATTATTGTTCTACATTGGGGAACATACCATTAAATAATTTCGTTTCTTTGCGAATTAACTGGCCCATGGATGAAATATAACAAGCACAAATTAGGTAACGATGGCATAACATGAGATAAATGTGAGGACGATGTGAGCAACTCGAACAATCTTCTTTATATAATTATGCTGGTTTTACTGAATTGGGTTTCTGATCTGAATTAATAAACTTTTGGGATACGTAGTTATTTGTTTGAAATTTTTTATTGTATATAATATATTCTATTTGATGTTGCTACATGACTCTTTTCTATCACAGACTTGGGTAATTTTTCCTTTGTGTATATTAATGAAATAGTTCTTGATAAAAATTATAGAATTCATATTCCCTCAGAACTTCCACAAATAATGGTTGATTCCCAAAATTGCTTATATTTGGCTTTTTTACAAAATATATATGTCTTCGCAGGTAGTTGTTGGGTCGGGAAAACCCCCATACAGAGTTTTGCCTGCCACAAACGGAACTCACTTTTACATCGATGATGTAGCGTAGCAAAGTATGACTTTGCTTTATGTTTGTTAATTAGAAAATAACTTGACATATTTTGACAACTTTGTACAGATTGTTTATAATCGAACATTTATCACATCGATGAACAAACATTAAAACATGTATTTTATATAAGATCTTTTGTGTTTCTAATTGATATTTGAAATTGAATTTGCGAACTATTCTCCCATGATTGTCAAAGAAGATACGTAGATAACGAGTGTGGCAACTCAATTTTATGTTACTGTAAATAAAAATATTCGCTGAAAAATAGATTTTAAATTGTGTGTCCACAAAGAGATATAACTTTTTTATATGAAATAATGTAGAACTTTATATAATGCGTTTTTGTTCGACTCGATTTGTGAAAAACGGAAACATCATCGCAATATGATTTGTGAGTGATGATACTTTATCATTTGAGTTTTTACGACATAAACAATAATATACGCAGTTGTCAGAAGTTTATAATGCCTGCTTTATAATGCTACATTCATCGATAACGGTATTCAAAATTCGTTCTGAATCATGACCAAATTAAAATACTTTTAGGTGTACGTATTGCAAAGGAAAGACCAATAGATTACATGGAATATTACCGCAGAAAACTGCAGTATAAAACTCATTGCAAATGTTGTTTACATTTTACAGTTATCCCTATAATTGTGGTTGTTATACTGAATGAGACCTGCTTATGCGTTATGAACAAATTAAAATACTTCTCAGGTACACGTATTGCAAAGGAAAGACCAATAGATTACATGTTGTTTACATTTTACAGTTATCCTTATAATAGTGGTTGCTATACTGAATGGGACCTGCTCATGCGTGTAAAAATTAAATTGATATATTAGTCTGGAATGAATATAAAATGGATTATCATGAATGCAAATGGAGAAGGGTTTCAATCACTGCAATATTACTATCCAAATTCGTTCCAGTGAGAATAACAGGCGTCAAATTCCGCGTGAAAAACACAATACATTTTATATTTCAATACAGCTATATTTTAAAATTAAACATGAAATTATACCTCATTTAGTTTCTTCTTATACTTTTATTTATAACCGAATAAGTTTTCCACATTGTGGTTGGCATGCGATTACTAACCGCAAATTAAAATCGTTTAGAGAATGTGTTAAATCCAGGTTGATGGCGATGACTTAGTTCAAATAAGGTATCGTTTGTCCGAGCAATTAGGATCAATTAGGAATATGAGGGAAATATTTCTTAGTTGTTAACCGAGTAGGCCACTAGAGAAAATTATC